TCAGCTCAACATTTATTAATAACAAGTCAGCACCATACATTTTAGCTATTCATTTTATTTGTTATCATAGCTGTCGATGTGGATGACTGAGCAGTATCAATCTGCAAGCTAACATCATGCAACGTCAACTTTACATCATGTACTTTAAACCCAACGTTACGTGTTTTTGGTATATCATCACAACAACGTGACTTATCGTTATACTATCACGACTAAAGCACTTGTCATTGCAAGTCAACATTGCGCAAATTCAACTTAGCATATTGTAATTTAGAGTTAGCATTTTGGTGACTCAATTCAACATCACGTTGTCTTAACTTTACATTTTAAGCTTCAGCATAACGTTTTGTAAATCTCTAATATATGACAGCTGAGGCTTTCCATACAAAATCTACAACATCAGAATGTAAATCAATCCTACAATAGTCAGCATATTCAAAGGGACCTGAGAGTAAACTTGCCACAACCTAAACCGTCAGTGTCTCAAACAGACAGGTGCCACAGACCACAGCAAAGGAAGAATCACAAGAAAAGTCAAATTCCTCCTAGGCTTCACAATAACAATATGCGGCAAATTTCCGAAGAAGTGCTAACAAAACACAAGCACCAGCAAAATGAGAACATGACAAATGTACGGCAAGCTCAGAGCAAAGAGGGATCTCCGCTGTTTACTCACCTGGTGACATTTCATGCGATAATTCTGCAGACTCTTCTCCTCATGACGGCCAACATCCTATGCAAACCGTATCGTCCTCAAACTACGCTCCTCAATCTGATATGGCAACAGATGTAACCTCCAGGGACTGTCTTCCAACAACAAAAGTGGATGATCCTCAACCGGAAATATCTCACAACTCTTTTTTAGGGTTCAGCCAAAACAACATACCACCCGATCTAGGCTTAATCAAAATCCGACAAAATCATCAATTCTAAAACAAACTTCTCAAAATAATGCTGCAGAACATCTTAGATTAACAACAATTAATATGGAAGGGAAAGGAAATGCATTATTTATAAACTCATTAGAATCTTCATCTGACATTATTTGTATCCAAGAACACTGGTTATATGAATTTCAAAAACAATCATTATGTAATGTTCTACCAAATATGGACATGTTCATCAGATGAAGCGATACATACGAGGAAATCTCAAATTTTAATCGGCCAAGAGGGAAAGGTGGTGTTGCAATAGCTTGGAAAAGATTCTTAACTCCATCCATCAGTGAAATACCATCTGGAAACAACAGGATAATTGCAATTGAACTGAAATCACCAATGAAGATTTGCATCACTTGTGTATATATGCCTACGAATAACTCTGGGGACTCATATCTAGAATACACAGAATGTCTTGATGTTATTAGCTCACTTCTATCAATGTACTCAGTATCACATAGAATCGTCATAGTTGGAGACAGCAATGGCACTTTAAAGACGCCCAGAAAATATAACAAACACGATTTTCTTCTGCAAGCCTTCGTACATGAAATGAATCTTCAATCTCATCGCTCTGAGAAATCAACCTTTTTCATCATTCTGGAATGTCAACCTCTCAAATTGACTATATTCTGCACAATGCTACAATTGCCTTTCTTTCGGACTACAAGATCCATGACCAATGTCACTCCAATACTTCAAGTCATGTTCCTGTGAGTGCAAAGATGAATGTTAAATCAAAACCAACGAATAAAGCAATCAAATCCGGCTATGTCAGTAAATTCAAAATCCAGTGGAAAGATATAGATAGTGAGACATACCATAACCATATCAGTAATGAACTCTCTCAACACAATATTGAAAGTCACTCGATAGAAGAAAGCATTAACTTCCTGTGCAACGGTCTTAAAAAAGCTGCTTCAGTTGCTGTTCCATCAAAGATTATCAAATTAAAAGGTCCACAATTCAAGGCATCTCCAACCACTCTTATGCTCCTCAAAATAAGTAAAGAAAAATATCAACTCTGGAAACCCCATGGCAAGAAAATGACCATCTCAAAACAGACAAAATACTGGCGCAACGAAATCTTCGCAAACAACTCCGAAAGGAACAGAATTTGGATAGAACTCAATTCTATAATGAATTGATGGACAATCCAAGCAATGATATGTTTCATAAACTCATTCGACGAAACAGAGGCTCCAAAAATAAAGATGCAATCTGCATAATGGAAAATGATGAGCACCACTATTCTGCAACTGACCAAACAAACAGCTTCTCTAGATACTTTGAGGACCTGGCTGTTCCCAAAGACAATGGATATGATCCCGAATTCTTAGATCTCTGCAATATCCGGCATAATATAGTTGATGAACTTTGCAAACAAAGCAGCAACGAACCACAATTTAGTTTTAAAAATATCTGTGATGCAATCCAACAGCTACATTCTGGCAAGGCAACAGATGAATTAGGTCTTGCTGCTGAACATTTTAAAAATTCTCCAACAACTGTAACTCATTTTCTTACAAACTGCTTTAATAACATTCTCAACAATCATCATATACCTGATATCTTTAAATCTGGTATCGTAACACCTGTACTCAAAAAAGGGAAAAATCCAATGCTAATGGACAACTATAGAGGAATTGCCGTACGTAACACCTGTCATCTCAAAACTTTTCGAATGTACCATTCTTCCTCGTCTAACAGTGAATTTTAATCAGTCAACACTTCAATTCGGCTTTACAAAAGGCATGTCGATGCTTATGGCCAGTCTCATTATCACTGAAGCTAGAGCAGAAGTAAAACTAATCACAATGGAGCCTTTATTTCTTATTACTGTGGACAGTCAGAAGGCCTTCGACGTGGTAGATCACATCATACTACTAGATGCGTTATATGACCATACTCAGAATCATCCTCTTTGTTCAATAGTGAAAAATCTTTACTCAGGGCTAGTTTCAAGAGTCAAATGGAAGGGAACCATTAGTGATAGCTTCAATATTCATCAGGGAGTACGACAAGGAGGCATTCTTTTACCTTTTCTATATAAAGTCTATGTGAACAATCTGCTTGAGGATCTTAAATCGCACAGTCTTGGTCTTAAAATTGGCACAAATTATGTTGGTTGCCCAACTTGTGCGGACGACATAGCCTTCTTAAGCAGCAGCCATTAGGAATTACAATGCATGCTTTCTGTTGCAACTCAGCATGTCAGACAGTCTAGAGTAACAATAAATCCTACCAAAACAAAAGCTGTCATCCTCAACAAACCGAAAAATATAAACAGGTCCGACTTAAACTGGACACTAGGCAATACCCCTGTTTATTCATCAGAAGACACAACACATCTTGGCTTGATAAGATCAGAATTGAAGGAAAACAATCTTAATGTTGATGCGCGCATCAGCATTGGGAGAAGAACCCTATACTCTCTGATGAATACTGGTCTACATGGAACAAATGGACTAAACCCACAGACATCTTACAGGATATATCAGAGCTATGTTATTCCTCGTCTGTTATATGGAATGGAAATACCCCCTCTTAACCAGAGCCAACTTGATATCATGACCCGCTTTCACACAAAAACATTGCGTAATATTCAGTCTCTGCCTACACGAACAGCCACTGGATCGGTATGATTTATGCTGTTGGGTGCTCTAACAATTGAGGCAGAAATAATTAAAAGGCAACTTTCATTTCTGTACATTGTTCTTTCTTGTAACAATTCGACAATTCAAGGCTTAGTAGACAGACAAATCATCATGAATATTGATAACCATCTCAGCTTCTTCTGTAAGGTCACAGGTGTGCTAGCTTTATATGATCTGCCAAGTATAACTACACGTAGTCAATATTTACCCTCAAAATCAAAATGGAAAGCAACAGTTAATTTAAAATTAGCAATTCAGGATTATTGGACTAAAACCATCATTAAAGAAATAGAAACAAAGTCTTCATTAACATATTTGGACAAAACCTTGTTAAGAATTGGATCTACACCTCCGGTTTGGACCAGCCTTTCTTCAACCGTCTCGGATGTTAAAAAGGGAGCGATAAAAGTCCGGCTACTAACTGGGACTTATTTACTTGAATCTCACAGATCTAAATTTAGTGGTGGCAGGGAGTCGGCATTATGTAAATGCTGTGGAACGTCGGATGAAGATATAATCCATTTCCAGCTGTTGTGTCCAGCCTTACATCAGCAGAGAAAAGAAACATTCAGCAAACGGCTTAAGTCTTATGTGATATCAGTTATTGGCATGGGATATTGGTCAGTAAAGAATTCAAAGGACATTTGGATCTGATAAGACTTATTGTCGACAGATCTTTTCTGCTGCCAAAGCTTAGAAATAGGACCGAATTGGACAAAATTCAAAGATTAGCTACGGACATGTGTTATAGACTCCCTTCTCAGCGTGTATGGAAATTACAAGGAAAATAATAACTTCTTGCTAAATATATAGATAATACAATCAGTGTAATGAGGAAAGATATGAGATGAACACAATGTACATATGTGTAAAGGTAGAGGCAAGGGTGTCCTGCTTTCCATTGTATAAAGCACCCTATATTTTTAGATTTTAGTTGTGTACAGTAAATCTTAAAATACATATTGACAAGGCCTAGATATTTTTACCTTTTAATTGCGTTAATTTTTTTTTATCAGTCCTTAAATATATTAGATTTTATCCGTGTACAGTGAATCAAAAATATTTTTTTTAGTTATTTGTGGAAAACTTTTAGTGCATACTATTTAAGTTTTAATTAACTCCCCACCTGGATAATATCCGTTGAGGAGGTGTTCCATAATTGGAAGGACATACATATAGAAGAAGAAGATTTGAATTTTAGGCAAATTTAAGAAACTCTGTTAGCGAGATTGTCTTGTCAACATTTAGGAGTAAACGCTATTCAGTTTTAAAATCAGCAATAACCTTCATGGAATTTTTACGATTCGTATACGATTTGCATTAGTGATCATTAGTGATACTGTTCGGGGATACGAGAGTGTGTTTTATTCTAGATTGATATTCTGGTGTTTGGTTGAACCCCTAGATGGCGCTGTAGGGTAAACCGGAATAAGGTTTTGTTTACACACGAGAAACTTGACAATTATTATAATATATCCCTCAAGATTTGTACTGTCATACTTTTTAAGGGGTATATGTTAGTAGGTAATGTCCTCCAGTATTCTATATGGTTTGAAAGTGTCCCATTATTTCAATGAAATCTTCAGGAAGGTGTAAATTAATGGAAAAAAAAGACTGCCATCATAATCAGAATATTTTCTAGTTAAAACGTCTGCTAAAGCCAGTTGGGGTATTTGTTAATTATTATGATTTTTGAAGTTCTCACTGGAAGGTTTGAAAGCAAAATTCAATTGGCTTATCAGATGTCATAACATTATTTGGACTAGATTTATTAAAGTCAACCTGATGACTCCCTAATCCGTTAAATATGAACACTTAACATACATACACGCCATTCATTAAAACACCATTTACCAATAAAAAAACAAGTATCAAGACAAAAGTACAAACGAGAAATACACAACAACATTTCAAATAGAAGTTAATTATCCTCATTCTTCTGCAATAAAAATATATTCATTCATTTAAAAGTATTAAATTTAAACTTATTTTTCAATTAAACTGAATTTGATACAAACACATATTTTATCTAAAGTTTATTTTAATATATTTCTTATCTTTATTTTAAAAAATATTTATCATCATCTCATAAATTCGTATCTAAAGTTCTTATAAATTATGTAAAAGAAAAAACAGTAAACAACACAATCTACAATTCATAGGCCTAGTTTGTTCACTTTATATAAATTGTGGTAGGCCGAGTTTATTATAGTCTGAGTTTATAATAGTCAGAGTTTGTGATAGGCCGAGTTTCTTTTAGGCCGACTTATCCAGCAGCTAAACTGATGACGGTGGTCACTCAGTGGTAGAACATATTTATTTACCTTGAGTGCATTCAAAATCTTAGCATCTACGTAGGGCCTCATATTTGGACTACTCAAAGAATAGCAGGTCCAGGATTTTGAAAAAAGGGGTCCCAAAACTAGACAATGTTTGGATTGAGACAAGTAAAAGGTATATACATTAACCATATATTTAGCACTATAAAAGGGGTGCTGCTCCCCCCCTTTCCGCCTTTGCATAGAGGCCTAGTCGCTATGTTGATCTAGATAATCTTAACATGCTAAAATGGTGTTGGATTGATATTTCTATCAACACATTTTTATACGCTACATGTAGCTACATTAGACATACCATATTATTCAACATAAATAGAATTATTTAAGGCAAACATTGAAGATGCTTTTGAATTTTTGAGTGTTCCTAAAGTTGCTCTAATAAACAGATTGATATATATATATATTTTTTTCTTTTTAGAAACTATTTTAAAAACATGTTAGATTAAAGATGTAGCAGAAATGGAAGATGGAAAAACTTAAGGAAGCAGCTGAGTATGCAGAGGTATGTTAAAATATTCAGGGGCTATAAGATCCAGGTAGGGAGGTTACTATGTTTTTACCTCCCAACTTTTTGGCAATTTTTTTTTATTGAAAATGAAAGAGGACACTGACTAACTTCTAAACTATTAGACTATAAAAAAGTATACATTATATCAGATCAGTATTATCTATACTAGTTGGTCTATTTTAAATATTTTGTGAAATGAGCTACTAAAGCTTATTTTATATTTTGTAAAGCATTTTAAAATATACTTATGTTTAGGGGACTTAGTGACTATTGGTTGACTAGGATTGCAAGAATTCTGGCTGAAGGTTGGCAGTTTCCTCATGGTATTCTGGTTTCTTCTACCAATAAAAACTGGCTGATATGATGCAGTAAAGAGTGCCGAAAGTAGTGTTAAACACCAACTATCAATTAATCAATACTTACTTTTACAAAACATATTACCTTTAGTCAACACACAAAACCATTGTTGATTTGAGAGCAGTTTTTAATACAGCTGTATTACTTTTTTTTATCCACTTTGTAAATATTTTTCAGTACATTATTCAGAAGGTTAAACAGAATCCAGGAGCCTTTGTTAATCCAGATATACCACCAGGCAGTAAGGGGTAATGTATTTTATGAAATAATGTTAAATGTTACAAAAAATGCATACCTGAATTGACCACATTTCTTTTTGATGTAAAAAAAAAATTGTATTTAATAGAGGTACAGAGGTTGGATACTTATGGAAAAATAATCGAGGCAATTAGTTCATAAACAGATTTAGTGTAAAGACGTCATACACAGTGCGGTAAAAGCATGACCTTGTGAATTATGTTTGTTGTTTTTCCTCCTACTAGAGCAATTGGATAGCAACATCAGCTATTTAGATAACACAAATATTACAATTAATTTTGTATAAAATGTAGGCTTCTCATATCTGAAGGCCTTCATCCCTGAAGATATGAGACGACTCAGCTGATTTATTTAGAAGTAATAAATAATTGTTTTATCTTTTCTTTTGTTCTTAAAAGAGCAATTTAATAATTTCTGATAAAACAGGAATAGTGTCATTATCTCAAATTTACCAGATGCAGTAACCACTGTCACAAGATTTTTGTAGTTATGGATTTGGAATGAAATGTTGATTGCTTACTTTTTTCTGTCATCAAATTGATACCTTATCACTGCTTTTGTATGGCAATATGAATTGCTGTACTATCTTGTCTTTTTTGGTTTAATTGCCAAAACCTGAACTTTTTGCTGATAAATGATAGCACATCTATGTACATGAAAAAAAACACTGCTGGACTTAACCTATTAACCTATATAAATCCTTGGAAAGCTGTTTTCTGTCAAACTTACCGCTGTAAATTAGATAGCATGTGAAAACAGCCTTTTTTAAATACTGCTATTGTAAAAATGTTCCCTAATTTTTTTGACTAGTTTTAACTTTATTAATGCCATATTCATTTCAGAGATTCTATTATGGGATTGAGTGTGTTTTTAAAAACCAGGGTTTTATTGACATGATATGTATATGACCAACGCTTTTCTTTTTGTTATACAGAAAATCAATTCATCAGAAATTATCAGATTTATATTTAGAAGAGAAAGCTAAAGACACGGATGACTCTGTAAGTCAAACAAATAAACTTGTTATTTACTGAAGTACTGTCATTCATTATTTGTTGTTGGATACTAATTTCGTGGATTTCTTGGGTATATGTGAACCACAAAATTATATGTTCAACAAAGTACAATTTTTTATAAGGTTTGTATGGAGACTGTGACAAAATCATGAAAATTCAATTTTCTTCAAGCCACAAAAATTGGTACCCACAGAAATAAAAGACTTCCCAGGAATCGTAAAATTATTTTTCCATAGCAACATTTTCCTAAAGAAATTTCTATTGATAATCATTCACAGTTATCACATTTGTAATTATACCAAATCTCCTGATTTTTTATTACCTAAAACAGGATGTCCTATTAATATATGGCCATTGTTTCTTAAACTGATTTGTTTTTTCCAGAAATAGTTTTAAAAGGATAGGCCTAATACTTTTAAAAATTTCCATAAAAATTGATAAATACTATGTAAAACATCAGTTTGGTAAATCACTTTTTGAAAAGCATCTCATGCATAAATAGAAATCCAGAATATGTATGAACATTTTTTTCCAATTCATTTTTATAATTATCATGCAGTTTTAGAAACAAGATGATGATGATGTATGGCTGCTTAACGTCCAGCGGCAAATTAATAAGCATATTCAGGACGAGAACATGTTAATGTTATATGAATATTAACCCTGCTTTGTACTAGACCGACACACTGAGCTGGATTTTTAACGTGCTTGTTTGGGTTTAGTTGGTTAGTACTTCGCTTGTGTAAATAGAATACGTTTGAACAGTTCTAATTGCTTTTAATGACTCTACTTGCTTGTATGACTACAATAACATAATAAACGTGTTGAGGTACAAAGGTAACGTTAGTTACAGTCCGTGAAAGAATAGCGGCAAAATACTTGACACTGGGGGCGCTGAGAAGTGAAAATGATAAAAATTCTTAATAAATACATAGATATCGCAAATATTCACAGTTGAACTTAAGTCGATGTATGTAGAAAATAAAAATCATTTGAAAAATTAAAGTCTGTATAAGTATAAAATTAAGACATCAACTGGCGAATCTATTCCCTGGCGTCCTTCTTCGATTTACGTTCTTAGGTGTCAAGTGTTGATTGAAACAAATCGCAAGAAACCTCTATCGGGTATAACTTTGAAATTGGACGATTTGTATGTCCATTGTTTGTACGCAAATTCACTGCTCTAACGAGTCCATCCTTGCCAACCAATAGTTCATCTACAATGGCTAGCTTCCAATTAATTCTAGGCGAATCTTCATGTATTTGAACCACATCACCAACTTTGATAGTCTGATTATTGTGTCCTAAAGTCGTGTGGTATTCCCTTAATGATGTAAGATATTCATTTTTCCATCTTCATCGAAAATGTTGAATAATGTTGTGCTGATCCTGTAGACGTTGATTCAAGTTGTTATGTGTACTTGGTTCAAAATTAATCAAATTGTTCATGTTTGTAGACGGATACGGTAAACATCTTATTCTCCGGCCACAAAGAAGATGAGAAGGTGTCAATGGTTCAGGTTCGTTGACATCTGATGACACGTACGTGATTGGTCGGTCGTTCAATATAGATTCAATCTCAGTGATGACTGTCTGTAATGTTTCCATGCGTATACATTTACTCCCTATTACTTTCTTTAAAGTTGTTTTGGTTAGTCCGATCATACGCTCCCAGAATCCTCCGTAACAAGGTGCTCCTTTTGGAATAAATTTCCATTCTGTTCCTTGATCTTGTATTTTTTCTAATAAAGATTGCGAATTCGTTAGCCGTTGAATTTCATTACTGGCGGCTATGTAAGTTGATGCATTGTCTGAAATCATTGTTTTTGGTAACGATCTACGACTTACAAATCTTCTGAAGGCTAAAATAAAAGACTCCTCTGTCAAGTTTGAAACGATCTCTAAATGTACGGCTCTAGTAGAGGCGCAAGTAAATAAACAGATGTAAACTTTAGCTCTAGAGTTGTCGGAATCTTTTACATAAAGTGGTCCTGCAAAGTCTACGCCTGTCACGGTAAATGGAAATGTACCTTGAACTCTATCTACTGGTAGTGGTGGCGGGTCCGGTTTCTGATAAGCCTTCCCTATTACTTTACGGCAAGTGACACATTTGCGTAATACTGCATTGACGCATTGACGAATTCTCGAAATCCAATATGTCTGACGTAATAAAGTCACTGTACTAGTTACTCCTCCGTGAAGTTGTTTCACATGTGCATCTTTTATAACCAAAGTTGTGAAACTATGTTTTGTTGGCAACAAATATGGAAATTTAGCGGTTTCGCTCAAAGGTGCATTGTTAATTCTGCCACCGCATCTCCAAATGTTCTGATCGTCTTTATAAAGTTTCAACTGTTTTAATATTGAAGGACTTTTAGTCGAATTGATGTGATGAAATGAATTATCCTGAGTGCTCTTGATCCATAATAATGTTGAATGGTTAATTTCCTCTACCGTAAGGGCTGATGTGTTCCTTTGATTCTTTTGTAGTTTACAATTCTTGATAAATCTTAGTATATATGCGGTAATTCTCAAAAGTCTTCTTAAACTACTGAACTGGTCTAAATTAATAATCCGGTGAAGTCCCGATTCTTCATTCTGATTCTGTGTTGATGTGAGTAGTGACAAATTTAGCTCAATGTCATATTCAGCATTTGTTAGCAATGCCATTTTGTTTCCGTTCCAAGTAGGCCATTCAGTTTCGTTGATAATCCACTTCGGTCCTTGTGTCCATAATTTGTTGTTCAGAAATTTATCTGCAGATGTGCCTCTAGTTCGTAAATCTGCAGGGTTCATGTCCGTTGGACAATATTTCCATCGCTGATTTTTAACCAGTTCTTTGATTTCAGTCACTCGGTTAGCAATAAATTTCTTCAGTGGTTTCATCGACGCAATCCATGATAAAACAATTTGGCTATCGGACCAAAATGTTACTTCCATGTCTCCTAAATTTTCCAGTAAATGATTAGCTAGCCTCGCTCCTGTTAATGCTCCCATTAATTCAAGTCTTGGCAATGTTATTTGCTTTAAAGGGGCCACTCTGTTTTTGGCCATAACCAGCGTTGATTGATCTCCGCCCACAATGTAGGCGCATGCTCCGTATGCACTTTGGCTAGCATCGGTAAATACATGTAGTTTCCTTACCTTGGTGTTGATATTTGCAGATGATTCATTGGTGAAATAAAATCTCGGTATTTCAAGTGTGACTGCTTGTTGTAAGTCCTCCAATAAAGCGTACCATTTACTCTTTATATCATCTGGTAAGAGCTCATCCCAGTCAAATTTCCTCTCCCATATAGTCTGCATCAAAATCTTAGCTTGGACGGTGATTGGGCTTAATACTCCTAACGGGTCAAATATCCTTGACGACTGTTGAAGAATTTCTCTCTTGGTAACATATTTCTCCTTATCAATTTTAATGCTGTTTTGAAACGATATCGTATCAGTTTCAGTGTTCCATCGAAGTCCCAAAATTTTAATAGTTTTGTCCTTGTCCATGCAGTCCTCCGACTCTGCCATATTGCGCAGTTTCCTATTGTTTGATGTCCAAGACCTAAGATTAAATCCTCCTTTGGATAAAAGTTGACATGATTCTTTATAAAATGATAATAAATTCTCCTCGCTATGAAAGCTCGACAAAACGTTGTCCACATACAGGTCTCTCTTCAATGCTCTAGCAGTATCTGACAAATTATTTTTCAGATGTTTCATGATTGTGGCATTCAACATGAATGGAGAACAAGTTGTTCCGAAAAGAACTACTCGGAAACGATAGGTGATTAGTGGACTAGTAGGGTCGCTCGAATCGCTCAACCAAAGAAATCTTGTTACATCTCGGTCTTCTTCGTCTAATTGAATATGTAAAAACGCCTTCTCGATATCCGTTGTTACTGCGAACTTGTGTAGTCTGAATCTTGTGATAATTCCTGTCAAATCATTTATAAGTGGTGGAACTGACATGAGACAATCATTCAAGCTGGCTTTGTCTGGTGATTCTCTACAGTTACAATCGTGAACTATGCGTATTGGTGTTGTTGTTGAGTCTTTTTTAACAGCATGATGTGGAATGTAATGAATTCTTGTACTTCTGTCGGTTTCCTCATTAACCTTCTCAACAAATCCACGCTTTTCTTGATCTTTAATTATACTTCCGTATATTTTTAGCGTGTCTTGGTCCTTACTGAGCTTGTTTATTAAATTTTCAGTACGACGTTTTGTTATATTGTAGTTAGTTGGTAAGTCCTGAAAATCGTCTTTCCACGGTAATTTGGCAATATATCGATTATCTTTGTACATAATACTAGATTTCTGATATGTTTCATAAAAATGTATGTCTGTCTGTGTTGACTCATCGTCTGCTGTAACTCCCATGGATTCCAGTTTCCAAAAACGCTCTAAATCAATCTCCTCCTTCTTATGTTGTACCAAAGTATTCATCATTGAAGCTGCAACTGTATTACCTGTTGTGTTGTTCATCGGTCCCGATAATAAATACCCAATTTTTGATTTCACAGCTGTTGGACCATTTCCGCGGATTATATTGTTTTCAACAATGTCCCAATAATAGTCTGCGCCTATTAACAAAGAAATCTCAAATTTATCGTCTTCACATACAGGGTGTGCTAATCTTAAACCTTTTAAATACGGAAGTTTCGATGCTTCGTAATTCATTCGGTTCTGAAGAGGGGCAGCTATTGTGGGTACAATAAGCACCTCCATTGGTATTCTTTCTCCTAGTTGGGTTTCCAACTCAATAACGGCTTTATCAAGGTTACGCACGTTCCTGTTTGCGTCTCCAAATGCAGCTAGACTGACTGTGGTGGTTCCCTTTGTTGTAATTTGTAATTTTGTAGCTAAATTTTCTGAAATGAAAGATTTCTGTGAGCCTTCGTCTAGCAGTATATTTGCGGATACGGTCTGGTTTCCTGTCCAAACTGGTGAAATTGCTGTTTTCAGTAGTACATCAGTTCTAGATTGCATGGGCAATGTTGACGAAGTGTAAAATATACATGTGTTACTATTTCCCTCTTCAATATCAACTGTATTTACAGATGCGGTTGTCTGCTCATCGTGTAATTTTGTCTTGTCTTTATTACATAGGCTTGTGTGATGTTTGTTATTACATTTACAGCATTTAAATTTAGAACGGCATTCTGAAACTTTATGATTTCCGTGACAATTGAAACAAAGGTTTTTCTGTTTAACTATGGTAAAGCGTTTTTCGTGGTCTACAATGTTTGTACAATCTACTGACAAATGCGACTGTTTGCAATATACACATGGTTTAGTTGTCAATCGTGTATTCATGGTCTTGATCTGATACCCCCTAAATTGTTGTTTATTTGTGCTTGTCTTAGGAACGGCTCCCGTGTGAAAAGACGCAGTTGATGTCATATTATCGGACATACATGTATTAACATTACCAGCCTCTTGTACATACATCTCTTTTGCTAAAGCTTCATGCAGCGATATTATATCCCAGCTATTTTTTCCGTGTTCCCGTGTTAAGTTTTTCCTCATTTCTGCGGGTAGTTTCCCGAAAATTATGGGTACAAGAAGGGATCCATATGTATCTTGCGTCTGACCTAGGGATTCAAGTCCCCTGATATTCGATTCCAATCTGTCATAAAATGACTTAATACTACTGAGGGTAAATGAAGGACTTGGTAAATCAAGAAGATTTTGCATGTGTGCGTTGATAATTTTCTATTGTTGACCGTAACGCTCATTCAGTAAATTAATTGCTTGATCATAGTTTGCGTTGGTTAGGGCTAACCCTGTAATACACTGTGCTGCTTCGTAATGGAGTTGTGAATTTAAATAACTTAACTTTTGTATGTTTGTAAGAGCAGGGTTCTGGTGTACGGTTGATTCAAACGAATCCCAAAATGTCTGCCAGTGTAAAATATCTCCCGAAAATGAAGGCAAGTCTAACTTTGGTAGTCTATGATAGAAATTCGGAGAAGGGTTATAAGTTGCGTTTGCTCCGTGATTAACAAAAGTGCTTTGAATAGCATCCTGTGTCTGATTTGTGTTGTGATTAATATTGCTTGTTGTTGGAAGTGTTGAAATATGTGCTGCTGGACCTTGATTTAAAAAATCACTCACCGTAGGTTTTAGAACGCTAGCTCCTGAGTTTGATGTAATGTCCTTGAATTTGTGAATTGACACTTCCAAATGTAAATTGAATTCATCACTATCCAAAATTTCCTGTTCTATATCTTCGACTTCTGTTCCATCTAGAATTTGTGTGTCCAAAGTTTCGAGTAAGTTCCTCTTCTTCATCAGAGTGTCTGTGGCTGCCGAAAGTTCTTGATTCTCGATTTCATTTTCTGAAATTTTCTGGTTAGTTCTATTGATTAGTCTTGTGACGGCGCTTCTGTGTCCACCACGAATTGCTTTCAGCTTCTCCATGAGTCACGGCACCAATGTTTGGGTTTAGTTGGTTAGTACTTTGCTTGTGTAAATAGAATACGTGTGAACAGTTCTAATTGCTTTTAATGACTCTACTTGCTTGTATGACTACAATAACGTAATAAATGTGTTGACGTTACAAAGGTAACGTTAGTTACAGTCCGTGAAAGAATAGCGGCAAAATACTTGACAGTGCTAGTTCACAAGGTAACAGTCCGCAGGAAGACATATTATTCCGACTCCGAGCCAACCAGTCTTTGCTCTTACTCCTTAATGCCGCGTGCTTAGTGGAAAAGCAGCAAATACCAATTTTAAAGTCTTTGGTTTGACCCGGTTGGAGATTGAACCACCGACCTAAAAGCACTAGAGGCGAACATGCTACCACGAGACCATCGAGGCGGTAGAAACAAGAAATTGAGTAACAGATGTTTAAAACTTGTCATGTTGATCTCAGTGAGAACAGGAAATGCTCAATTTACTACTTGAATATTTTTTGAATTTAATAAAAATTCACATACTTGTACTGAAGTAACATCAAATGTAAAATTAAAAAAAAAACAAGTATATTATTTACAAATAAACTAATGTTTTCAGTACCTCAATTGAAATATATACCAATAGTTGAAACAACAGGTAAATTCTTACGTTTCAGTTACCTGTGATTCTTGTTTTTATCTTCTTAGGGCCAGCTCCATGCTTCACGTCTTTTAGGAAAGTTGGTAAAGCGTGATAAATTAGAATGTTTGGTGTTAAATCTGTTTGCTGGAAATGAAGGGTATTCGTTGATGATCAAAGGAAGAAATGGAATAGAGGCAGAAACACTTAAATTACCATATGAGGTATGTCTTTGTTAGATTGAGAATTTTATGTTATGTAAAAGAAAGTATTTTTCCAGAGACTTGCTGCAATTAATGCAGTTCTGTTAACTAGGTTTCCAACAGAAATATATTTATCAATTTTAGGTTGTATCGTTTTTGTGTTTCCATGCAAATATTTGAGAACCATTCAGTCAATGCTTATCACATTGAGGATCTTAGAAATCTTGTGTGATACAATGTGTACAGTATAAAGTATGATACACTTACTTTGGTTAAATTTTATAAATATTAAATTGCCTTTATAGGTAGATAAAAGAAGTGTTTCAAATATTATATTCTAGATATCTCTAGGACGAATAATATTGATTTATTGAATGCACTTTGATACTGAATTGTTTGTCAAAAGAGTATTTAATTTAGTATTTTTTATGTTACTAATATTTGTATTTTTTCAGGCTTCAGAGTTTCTGGAATATGTAGATTCTTCAGAAGTAAGTCTTGTTGTAAAATTCAAGTACCCAGTGTAGTATGTGTGGGTTATTTGTCTAACATTTTTGTAAGGGTGCATTGATCCATAAACTACAAGATCCTCATCTGTCTTCCTACTTTCAAATGAAAAGAACAATTTTTACATTACTTTTTCATAACAATGATAACATCATTCAAAGGTAAAACCACAAGTTTCAAGGGATATGAAAGCTGTTTTATTATTTTTAGTGTTTTTACCTACAGTAAGGTTTTGATTATGATTGTAAAACAAATAAACCATTGTTTTAGCAATTACACAGATATTTCTTTTAATCTGTCAATATTAACCTCAAAGTATGTTCCATACACACAATAATATTTTGGTATCAATTGCATATGAATAAACATGATAAAGATATTTATCAATATCAAAGTCAATTTTTTTTTACATTATCTAGAATTTTTTTTTTAGCTTTTGCAGCTGATTTGGTTTTTCACCGAAGTTTAATTTATTATATGTATATGCACTTTGCAGAATAAAAAAGGTACGATTAATTCTTATACAAGCAATAAAATAAGAGACATACTAAACAAAAACTGGTACCTGACTAGGTAGAATGGCTGCACCAGTAAAATAATTAATGTTTCATACAAGGAGATATAAAGAACAAATACAATTTTAAAATACAATTTTACAGCCATGTTTCAGAAGGCCCTGGCCCCAACTAAAAAATTTAAAGTCAGTAATTTCCTTTTTTTAATCATTGGACAGTAAAATTAGATACAATCTCCAAATCTTAAATTCAATACAGTTGCCATCTAAATTATATACATACATGGACTTAAAATTTCTTTATTCCAGCTTCCACCATTCCTTGTAGATTTACTTGAAAGAGCACAGGTACATTTAGAAATAAGAAATATTATGCTGTTGAATCAAAGCAAATAGAAATTGCAAATGTGTCATAAAGATGTTGAGAGGGATATGTTGAGCATGTTTTGAATTAGTCTTAAACTCATGAAAATCATGCTTGAAACATTAATATAGTAGAGGTAATATTGTGTCTTCATTGGGTAAACATGTTGTTAAAGTGTTCATTTCCTATTCCATTCATATTTCTTAACCGTAAAACACTTTACATTTCATTGTACAAAACAATGGAGAAATTTGTTCAAAAGAGGAAATTTGCATCATGAGATCAGAAGTACTTTGAAATGGTTCTGATCAAGTTGTTATATAAATTGTAACCTTTCATAGTTTTGCACCCTTCTGTAAACCAGATTCAAACTACCATTTGAAATTATTTTGCAGTAAAGAATATATAGTTTTACTGGTTTTCATGCTATTTTTGAAATGGGGAAAATGAAACTATTTATTCTAAATTTGTACCTCTATTGAAGGTAAATGTGTTCTACAGTGGCAGTGTGATACTAGAAGTTCGTGATTACCGTAGAGCTAATGATGGGAGATATGATACAGATTATGTATTATTGAAGCCTACATCACAGGTAAGTTTGGTTTGTTCCACATTGCAAATGTTTGTCCTATCTGCAGAGTACAGTGATATAAATGGCTTGAAGAAAGGGGACATAACTATGAGTTCAAGAACAATTTTAAAAGTTCATTAACGGTTTGCTTTTGCAACTATACCTATTTGTATAGAGCTATATTTTGATCTATTATTATGAATTTATATTTATTGACTAGTGCAAAAGTTTCACAGAGCACTTACTGTGTGTCTTTGTAAAAACCAGGTATAAATTTGAACAGAACAGACCTAATGCAAATTAATTTTTTTCAGTCTTTGTTGGCTGATATTTATAACCTAAGCAGTGATGGACATAGATGGACACAAGATGATCTGTTTACATTAGAAAGTCAGTTGCTATTGGCAACAGAAGAGCCAATATGTTTGGATCCATCTCCCGCTGTTCATCTTGTTGCCAATAGACTCCAATATGAAAAAAAAGTTCTTGATACTCCAATGATTAAAAGGTAAAGAAAATTGTTAGTCGGACCACTGGCTTTTATGATTTAATATTGAATAACGTTATATCAAAAACTGGCTATTATGATTTTGAAAAAGGATATTATTCTTTTTGCCAAAATCAGATGAATAAGTATACTGACAGTTTGATATGAATGTCCAAAATGTCTACAAGTATACTATTCATTTACATATTTTACAAATTGAATTTACTTTTCACCCAATTTTAATAATTTAGAGGAAGCTTTATAACAAGGTAGAGATCTATAAAAAGGTATGCAACAAAATTAATAGTTCATTTAACAACAAAAAAGACAAATTGACAATTAAGAGATGATGTTCAAGCTTGCATAAGTGCAAAATACAATAATCTGACCTTTACAACTGATTTTTGTCGAGCCTGCGACTTTTGTCGCAGAAAGCTCGACATAGGGATAGCGATCCGGCGGCGGCGGCGGCGTTAGCTAACTTCTTAAAAGCTTTATATTTTAGAAGATGGAAGACCTGGATGCTTCATACTTTGTATATGGATGCCTCATGTTACGAAGTTTCCGTCAGTCACATGTCCAATGTCCTTGACCTCATTTTCATGGTTCAGTGACTACTTGAAAAAAAAGTTCAGATTTTTTGTAATGTTAAATTCTCTCTTATTATAAGTAATAGGATAACTATATTTGGTATGTGCGTACCTTGCAAGGTCCTCATGCCCGTCAGACAGTTTTCACTTGACCTCGACCTCATTTCATGGATCAGTGAACAAGGTTAAGTTTTGGTGGTCAAGTCCATATCTCAGATACTATAAGCAATAGGTCTAGTATATTCGGTGTATGGAAGGACTGTAAGGTGTACATGTCCAACTGGCAGGTGTCATCTGACCTTGACCTCATTTTCATGGTTCAGTGGTTATAGTTAAGTTTTTGTGTTTTGGTCTGTTTTTCTTATACTGTATGCAATAGGTCTACTATATTTGGTGTATGGAATAATTGTAAGGTGTGCATGTCTAGCTGGCAGGTGTCATCTGACCTTGACCTCATTTTCATGGTTCAGTGGTCAAAGTTAAGTTTTTGAGTTTTGGTCTTTCTTTCTAATACTGCATGCAATAGGTCAGCTATATTTGGTCACGTGTATGGAATGATTGTAAGGTGTACATGTCTAGCTGGCAGGTGTCATCTTACCTTGACCTCATTTTCATGGTTCAGTGGTCAAAGTTAAGTTTTTGAGTTTTGGTCTTTTTTCCTAATACTATATGCAATAGTTCAACTATATCTGGTGTATGGAAATATTTTATGATCTATATGTCAGTTACGCAGGTTTTATTTGACCTTGACCTCATTTTCAAGGTTCATTGCTCAGTGTTAATTTTTTGTGTTTTCGTCTGTTTTTCTTAAACTATAAGCAATAGGTCAACTATATTTGTTGTATGGAAGAATTGTTAGCTGTACATGCCTGCCTAGCATGGTTCATCTGACCTTGACCTCATTTTCATGGTTCATTGGTCAATGTTTAGTTTACTTGGTTAATGTTAAGTTTATGTGACAGTTGTAATAAAGCTTTATATTTAGGACTATCAACATAATATCAATGATTAGTAAAGAAGGCGAGACATTTCAGCGTGTGCACTCTTGTTTTCTTCTCTTTGATGTTATATAGATATTTATGTAAGTTAAGAACATTTTAGGTATCATATTATGCTAATTGTTTGTGCTTTTTCAGATCTGTTAAAAAATTTACACAAGCAGCAATTAACAGAAAACGAAAATTTGAGCAAGCTGAAGCGCCAAAAGAATTACGTCTTTATGACTTTGTACACAAGAAACGTGTGAGGTCACATCCACATGTCAACCTGAAGGTTGGAAAAGCTGTATGTAGTTTGCATGTTAATATTGTATATCTCTTCTCATATTTCTATCTTTATCTATGTACAACAAGACAATACCAAGGGGTTATGCTAAAACAGAAATTATAGAAAAACAAGAGAGATATCAAGAGCAAAGGAAAAGGTTCGGATGGCAAACATAAGTCCCAAGAACATTTCAAAGAAAAATAAAGATCAAACAACAAGAACCCTTCTAAAAAGGGATGAGATCTAATAAATTTGACACTCCTAATATAAAATGAGGAGATGTGGTGTGGTTGCCAATTAGGCAACTATCCATCAGAGGTCAAATTATGTGAATTTAAGCAATTATAGGTCACCGTACAGCTTTCAACAATGAGCAAAACCCATATCTTATAGTCAGCTATAAAAGGCACTAACATGACATAATGTAAAACAATTCAAACAAAAAAATCGACGGCCTGATTTATGACAAAACAACTAAGGCTATTATGGAAAAAGCACACCACTATGTGAAGATGTAAGATGATTAGATGTATGGGTAGATTGGCCAATGGTTGAATGCATTGGTGGGAATCTTCTTGATAATTAGATGGAACTGATAATTAAGTTATTTTATAAAACAAAGTGTAGAATTTCATGGCAATTTATTTTTCTGACATGCATCAGAGTTTGTTGTTCGCTTTAATAGTTCTAGACTTTTTTGATTGGATTATACATATTCTTACCATGACTCTACACACGTGGCTGTACTCAATAAAGCTCAAAGTACTGGGTCCTATTTAGTTTAGGAACATCAGCTTTAGACCACTATGGTTTGAACTGAAAATTTATAAGTTTTTCTTTTCTTATTCCTTTTCTTTTACTTCTGTTTTCTATGTATTGGTAACATAAGTTCATACAGGAAATAGAAAATAGTTATGACCATGTGCATGTATTGTTGTTTCTAACAGGCCATAATCTTGCCGGCAAAATGACGATTTAAGTCGCCAAAGAATTTTGAAATCGCTAAATCTCGCCAGCCGACTGACTTCATGGCTAAGTCAAATCGCTATGAAAATCGGTAAAAGGGAGACAACTTGTGAATTCCAAGTCTCCCAGGTAAAAAAAAAAAGGTGACTGACAAGGAAAATCAATATTTTCGAAACACCCAGGACTAATACTGTCGACGATCAAATTAAATAAATACAACGGCGACTTTGAACATCCTTGGATATAACATTCAAAACTATTCAAACGGAAAACTGACTGTCTGTTAAAGTTATCATTTTACAATGATTTTTATCTGAGGATGTTGCGTAATCACTCAGCTGGTTTGTTTTATTTTTATTTATTACAAGTCGATCAAATTGTACTATTTGGTGGGTTAAGGGTGGGAATTAACGTAGATTTATTATATTCATTGAATAAAAATTGAAATATAAAAGGTAGAAAGACAGCTGATGGATAATGTGATTGCAAACATACGACACTCGACCAGCTGTGATCAGCAGTGGATTTTTTTTTCACAACAATTTCGTTGATAGGGAAGATATCTTTGAAAAATGATAGAAATTAGTTCTGTATTGGTTAATTAATATGTGATTGACAGATATTTTCATTTATAGGCTTACAATCTTTAACGAGAATCTCAATTTACAATTACATGTAACATGATGTCCTAGACATTCAATAATGTTTTACAAAATAATGACATTCCATGAAAATCTTGTCACATATTTCTCAGGAACTACAAATCTCACCATCTTCAAAAAATTTATCAGTCTTCATGTGAACATGCTATACAATATGATGCGGTTTTGGATTTATTGACCCCCAGCTTCATGTTTACTGATTACTTATATGTAATGGCTATGCAAGAAATTTTTGTAGCATTTTTATAGGGAACTACATGTACAAATAGTAGCTTTCTGAAATTTGTTATCATGCTTAGTGTCAATATACTTAACTGTGTGATGCTTTTTCAGATGCATCGCTCATCAACTTTCTGTTAAATGAATACTTACATGTATATATTCTAACATTGCATTTTTCTTGGGAACTACAAATAACAGCTTCCCAAAATTTGTTATCATGCCTCTTGAGAACATGCTTTACTGCTTATCAGCTTCCTGCTTGTTGAATCTACTCAGCTTAACTTGTTATTTCTTTTTTTCAGCATGTTGACATGTGGAAACAAAAGTTAGTTCAGCTATCTACACCAGAAACTGTGGAGGTATGTTTGTATTGCAGACACATTTTATTTTGTTTTCTCATTACTTCTTTGTAAAAGGTTTATATTCTCTTTAAATAATTTTATTTCTATTTATTATTTTAATTAATTTAGTATATAAATATTTATTATAAAAAGTTATTCAACTTTTTTATTCTTTATACAGAAGTCAAGTGTTTGTGAGCTTTTGTTTTCTGACTGTTCATTGTGAAAAAAGGTCAATAAAGATAAGATGCCCAGACTGGTCAAACAATTGTTATCAATTTCAACAAGAATGCATACTAGCACTCGTAATTAGAAATACAAAAACAAGAAGAAGGTGTCTGACAGATCTGAAAAGCCCACACAAGTTTCATTTCATCATTTTTGAGGTGTTGACCAAATATGAAGTCATTCTGTTTAGTTGTATTGGAGAAATATGTAACGAAATATTTTAAGCTCATTCAACATATTGAAAAATTCTAAGAATCGGCTATCGATATCACTATCATTCCTGTAAATTGTACTAGTTACCATGCACTATGATTCCATATTTTTCATTTCAGGTTGAGAAGTATGCAACAGTAATGGAGTCACCAGATAATGTAGCTGATAATGATTTGGTAATTGTTCAATTATTCATTGGTTTAAAATTCATTTTATTAAACAGCAATCACTTAAAGCTTGCAGTCAAAAACAATGTGACAGATATGTATTTTTACGTTATCGTCCAGTTAAGTCAAGAGGAATAAAATTGTATTGCTTACAGTGATTTCCTGTAATTTTTGTCTCGCCTGCCATGAAATTTCCAGAATGTGAGACAAAGGGATGCTAATCCTGCAACAGTGGCTTAAACTAGTTATTTAACTTTTATCAGACCTTGACCTAATTTTCATGGGTCATTTGTCAATGTTATGTTTTTGTGTCACCTTCGACTTTAGTCTAAAAAGCGAGACATAGCGATCCTACATTCCGTCGGCATCGTCGTCGTCGGTGGCGTCCACAAATATTCACTCTGTGGTTAAAGTTTTTGAAATTTTAATAACTTTCTTAAACTATCCTGAATTTCTACCAAACTTGGACAGAAGCTTGTTTATGATCATAAGATAGTATCCAGAAGTAAATTTTGTAAAAATAAAATTCCATTTTTTCCGTATTTTACTTATAAATGGACTTAGTTTTTCTGACGGGAAATATTACATTCACTCTGTGGTTAAAGTTTTTAAAATTTTAATAACTTTCTTAAACTATCCTGGGTTTGTACCAAACTTGGACAGAAGCTTGTTTATGATCATAAGATAGTATCTAGAAGTAAATTTTGTAAAAAAATAAATCCATTTTTTCCGTATTTTACTTTTAAATGGACTTAGATTTTCTGCCAGGAAACAACATATTCACTCTGTGGTTAAAGTTTTTAAAATTTTAATAACTTTCTTATACTATTTTGGATTTGAACCAAACTTGGACAGAAGCTTGTTTATGATCAAATGCTAGTATCTAGAAGGAAATTTTGTTTTCTTCCAGTTAACATTACATTCAGTCTGTAGTTAAAGTTTTTAAACATTTATTAGATTCATAAACTCTCCTGGATTTTTACCAAACTTGGACAGAAGCTTCTTACAATCAGAAGATAGTATCAAGAGGAATATTTTTATTGATTTACTACCTCATTTTTGTTGAGCATGCGATTAACAGAAAAGTAGGCGAGACACTGGGTTCTGCGGAACCCTTACAAATTTTTCATGGTAAAATCTGTTTCTCCAATACTTTAAGCAGTAGGTCAATTATATTTGTTTTATGAAAGACTTACAACATAATCATGATCAGAAAAGCAGGCTAGATGTGCACTCTTATTTTAAATACAGACATAGTATATAGGTCAGGTCTTGGTAGTTACACCATTGACTGTTTGTAACCATGTAGTAATCTCACAATTAATTAGAACCTATTAGAACTATAGTGTGATCATGTCAGCTTGTAATATGGATTTAAATATCTTACTAATTATGTAAACACAAATTGAACTAACTGGTTGCAGAAAAAATGGTTGTATGAGTTTTGGTTCAAGTTTCCAAGAAGTATATAATATATAATATATAAAAGAGGGAGGGTAATCAAAAACCTTAAGTTAAAGAAAAACAGACTAAGCCGTGGACAAAAAGAAAATGATTAAAGACAACGGTTTACACACAAAAATTACACAGAAAACTAAAGATTGTGCAATGCATTTCTCAAAATAGGGGTGAACTCAGGTGATCTGTAATGGTAGCAATTCCTACTCCACTAATGGTACCTGTCTTCTTGCTCTCTAATAAACACATTTGATTTTTTGGGAAATGTGATTTTAACATATATATAGCTAGGATTTAATGAATTCAATTTTATTGAAGGATCTTGTAGAAGAGCAGATGTTAGAAAGGGGAACAAATCAAGAAAAGAAATTATTGGCCAAACTATCTATATTAAAACGTAAATCTGATCATGTATATTATGGAGAATTATACATAGATCATGATCATAAAGAAGGTTCTCATGGTTCATCTTGTACGTAAGTATAAGTATTTTTGATCAAAGAGAACATTTTGGAGATTTTCACCTATCTTTCTTTTTAGATTTCATCAGAAACCAAAATTCTTTTCATTAAATCTTATTCTCTTTTATTGAAAAATGGAAAGAATTGCATCTTTCTAGTCCATTTAACTATTTACTTATTAATCAATAACCATTTGTAATTTCAGCTTCATGTTGGGATCAAAGGGCAATGTTGACAAGTGAGTACAGATTAACCATTGGTATTAGTATTACTGTAAGACATATCACCTAACAGGTTTTTACTTACCTTGCATACATAGCAGTTCTAAATTCACTGGGAACATGTTCTCATTTACAGAATATTTTACCTGGACACGTCTTTATGTAAATTAACGTATGTATTTTTCCACACATGAGATTTTTTAGTTACAATAAAGATACAATGTAGCTAACATTTTGAAGCAACAAGAGTTGTTTTTTATAGATTCAAAACAAAATACAAAATTGAAAACTTATAAGTGTATCTCTACTATATAAAGTAAGGAATTTTATATAAATTCCACACTGCACTTCCAAAGTATATATAGTAGAAAATAAGTTGGTATCTAAGTGTCTTAAACCTTGACAACATTTTTTTCAAAGGGTATGAAATATTTTGATAAATTTGGTGCCATATTTGATTAAGACTACACCTTTTAAACTTAACCACTCTTCCCTTTGTAATACTCTGTTTTTATTTGAGCCTGTTTTTAATTGAGCCTGTATGCACTATTGTAGATACCTTCAGCATTTTTATTTGAGCCTGTTTTTGATTGAGTCTGTATTCACTATTGTAGATACCTTCAGCAGTTTAAGGAAATCTTCACAGAAGAAGGTAGATTAGCTGTAAAAATAACGAAACAGATTCCTGGTCAGCCTGCTGTTATAGAGTACACCCAGACATCATCTACCAGTTCTGGAATAACTAATATAAGTGCTTCAGCTGTCTTAGGGACACACCATCCTAGCTCTAGTGCTGCAGGGGTTAGTTTACTTTTAACACTGATTTTTATAGTTAATACTAAAGATACACCAAACCCACTGGTTCATAAGGGAGATAAGCTTGATTATGGTTTGAAAGAACTCAATGTGTTAAACTGTGTTCGATTTTCTAAAGTTTTTATTTTGAATTGGTTTCAATCCAGATTAGACAGGCGTTTTATAAGTGTGTCAATCAGTCAACTTTTCTGTTTTAAAACATATTTCATCTTTTATTGAGACTCCTTTGTAGCCTCTAGTTACTCATGGTGTAATACCACCAAATTGTAGTGTCACATCCAGTTTCATACGAAAAAGGGTAGAAAAAAATTCTCCCTTGAATTTTTGATGGGTGTAGGAAATAATCCTACATTTCATTGCAGTAAAAAATTTCTGAGCCATAAACATATTTCTTGGGTGTTTCAAAGCACCCTTCTTTTTCATTTGGTGTTTCTATAAAACATTTTTGAAACTTGAGGTGACATGGTTACTAAAGCTTGTAAACAGGAAAAAAAAGGGTGCAAATTTGATTGGTTTACTTCTGGTGATGGTTATTATCTTATATGCAATGAAATGTTATGTGAAATTTTCACTGTAGTACTGGACAGGGTACAACTTTACTCATGCCAAGTAGTTCTTTATCAATGCATTTAAATTTCTAATAAAAGTATTAGATTACATATGGTAAGGACGAAAGGTTTGATTGTATAGTCACAGGAAAATGACCTTCAATTTAACATTGTGTGATTGTATAGTCAGGCCGAGAAAAAAAAAATCTGTGTTTCCGGTAACCCGACCGACCCTGTTTTTTTAGCCCCGACCCTAATTTTTTTATTGGATCTTCAAAAAAAAAAGGTATCAATCGACCCTGTTTTTGACACAGGCTTCTGTTAATCGACATAATTATTTATCTAACTTGCTTCTACTGGCACAGAAAGCCAGTAAAACATTTTATTTATGTCAAAAGGTATTCGAAATAGGTTAAAATCCAAGAAATTTGCACAGCAGGTGCTTCAAAAACATTGCAAATGGCCGCACTTCCGGTATATGAAACTAATTACGGACCCGAACTTGGAAAAACCATGATAATTTTCCGGATTTCGTTTACAATGTCAAAAAAAAAAAAAAAAAAAAAAAAAAAAAAATCTGACCTACCGACCCTATTTTTCAAAATGATGTTACCGGAAACACAGATATTTTTTTTTTAGGCCTCACAGGAAAATGACCTTCAATTTAACATTGTGTGATTGTATAGTCACAGGTAAATGACCTTCAATTTAACATTGATAGATTGTATTGTCACAGGAAAATGACATTCAATGTAACATTGTGTGATTGTATAGTCACAGGAAAATGACCTTCAATGTAGCTTTGTGTGATTGTTTAGTCACAGCAAAATGACCTTCTATGTAACATTGTGTGATTGTATAGTCACAGAAAAATGACCTTCAATTTAACATTGTGTGATTGTACAGTCACAGGTAAATGACCTTCAATTTAACATTGTGTGATTATACAAATACAAATATTTTATTAGCACAAACTCATCAACAATAAATAGTTAAGGCTCATAGTATATTAATTACATAGTTGATCATACATAATAAGTATTGCAAATAATGACTATATTAATATGTAATATTATAAACAATGATTATGAATTAGACATATTGACAATTTTATAGAATTTGTTCTGCTTTACGCAGGTTCAGACTGTCTGAAATGAAAGAGGAAGTCAATTTTAGGATTGTGTATGAATTATTATTTAATAAAAAGATTACATTATTTTCATTTTTTTGAAATTTTGTAGGATCAACGATTATATTTGAAACTTTTTGGTAAAATATGGCCCTTTTAGTTGAGTATTTGTATAGTCACAGGAAAACGACCTTCAATTTAACATTGTGTGATTGTATAGTCACTGAAAAATGACCTTCAATTTAACATTGTGTGATTGTATAGTCACAGGTAAATGACCTTCAATTTAACATTGTGTGATTGTATAGCCACTGGAAAATGACCTTCAATTTAACATTTTGTGTGATTGTATAGTCACAGTTAAAAGACCTTCAAATTAACATTGTGTGATTGTAGGTAGAACATGCTGCTGCTCCAGGTTTACTGATGGCCAAGAGAAATGTACCAATACAATTATCACTTACCCTGGCTCCTGCTGGTTTGTAACTTTATAATTCTTGTTCATTTACAAACATGCTTCTCGAAATGTAAAGGTACTACTTTTTTTCAAGTAGAATGGATAAAGTAATTGTAAGATATGTATGTTTTATTGAACATATAACAAGTATTTTAGTAAAGGGCTTTGTTTCGAAGTTTGAACCTTAAAAAGCCAGTTAAGTTTTGGCAATGTTCATTTCTTGTGTTACTAAGCCTTCCACGATGCATTTAAATGGATAATGAAATGTTTGTAAAAGTCAAGTTTCACAATAAAATGCCTACCAGGAACACAGCAAAAAATGATACACACACAGACATTTCCTGATATGCAGTTTCAGATCTATTAATAGTAAATTTTTCATAGCAAAATTGTTTTGCAGTTAGAATTTAATATCTGTTCAAGTCTCTTTTACAGAATAAGTAATTGCTTTGAAAATACCATTTATTTACCAGTAATTTGTTCATTCATTTCATTAAATAGGAACAAATGCACAAACAGGGAACCAGTTACAACTTAACATACAGAAACAAACTGTTAGTACTCAGTCTCAAATGTTTTCTCAGAGAAACAAATTTTCTACAGCACCCAGTTCTCAGAGGTAAATATATAACAAACCGTTAGTACTCAGTCTCAAATGTTTGCTCAGAGAAACTAATTTTTACAGCACCCAGTTTTAAGAGGTAAATATAAAACAAACCATTAGTACTCAGTCTGAGATGTTTGCTCAGAGAAACAAAATTTCTACAGCATCAATATATTTCATTTTAAACACCTTTAGAATTGCTAAAAAGTAAAAAATAAAACTCAAATTGTTTGATGGACATGGAATTCCTTTTATAAAACTATATAAGGATGCAAAACATCCAGATCTGTACTTTTATTTTGTAAGGATAATAAAATCCTTTAAGGCGAAGTATACGTAATATAATTACTCTACAGAATTTTTTTATATTTTACATGTGGATTCTGCTTGTGAAATTACATCAGAATATAAAATAAAAAAAGGGGGTAACCTTTTTCGTTTTTCAGATACAAGCTGTTAAAACTAACAGCATGATTCGCCAGAAATACAAAGGATATATAGGGAAAATCATAAAAAACCTCAGATATTTTTACTTTATCATGATTTTCTAATTCGTTGGTCAACAGAATTTTTTTTTAAATTCGAAATGCCATTCAAAAATAAATGACGAATCCATCGGTGCAAAGAAAGTCCTTAGCAACCATGCTAGTTTTCAAGCTATATTCTCTTGAAGTTTGATTTTTAGCAAAAAATTATAAAATATTCGGCAACGTTATTGATGTCTGCTGTAACGTCACCACAAATTCTACTCTATAACGCTATTATACCCATTGTACTGTACAGTATTGTCATACAAATCGTGAGTGTGTGTAACACATTTTTCTAAGTATTGGAAATGCTAAAAAAAGTAAAAGCGTAATCGGTGATAATGATACAAACTGAAAAATGTTTAAGGATATTTCTGCTGCCAAAATAATGTAAATTGGCAAATAAATATACTTCAAGTGAAAGAAAGTTACTGTATAGACTTTAACTCCATCTTTTCTTGATTAGACAGGGTTCCACATCTTTTTTTTGAAATATTTGTATTGTTCTAATAATTTTAAATAAAATATCGAGTTGTCCAGATTAGTACAGAATGATTCTATACATATTTGAAAAATTCGGTTATAATATTGGGATCTCTTCTTTTCATCCTCACAATTCCGGCACTATGTGTGGTATTGGGTACACAACCCATTCTATTTGTCAAGTTCACACACGTGCACGTGATTCTACAATTTTACTTGAAAATTTCCTGTCTCGATTGCTTTCCCTTTTTTTATCTACACGACAAGGCATTATACATGGTATAATGTTTGCTGGAGATTCATTAACAGAGGAAATAATTTCTTGTACCATTATTTCTTAAGTTTCCACATGTACGACTCATAAAAAATAAGAAATCTGCAAATGCATATTATCTTGAGAATGGCTGTAATAAGGTCAAAAGAAGGACCCGTATATGAATTTCAGCAAAATAAAACAGATCGGAGTTTTTATATAACTTCCCGTTGCATAGATCACTGCCTGTGTTATGCCTTAGCATTGCGTATATTGTAATGCTAAAGCCGTATTGTTAAGTCTAAGTCTAACGCTTTGTATATTATAGTTATATGCTGTAAATGTGCTGGTGTCATGATATAAATGTACTGGTGTCATGATTTAAATTTACTGGTGTCATGAAAAAAATGTATGTATGTAATGTTATACGAATGTACGTATGTAATCCTATGTAATGATATACAAATGTACATATGTAATGCTATACGAATGTACGTATGTAATGCTATACGAATGTACCAAGGGCGATGTTATGAGAATGTAATCATCCAGTATGATGCTAAAAAATGTTTCTAGTGTAAATTCATTAGATTGTATCCAGTACAATGTAAGGAGACCACTTCTAAGCAAGGATCGAATCTCACAAACTCGGCAATAAAATCAGGACCTCTAGAAAGTTCGGAGAGCCGACAACCTTGCTTCGGAAGTTGGCAAGGAGACTGTTCATAATGTAATGCTATACGAGTTTACCTTGCATATTGTGCCTGTATCTAATGTAAATAAATTGGGTTTTAAATGTGATATAAAAATAAGGAGATGTGGTATCATTGCAAATTGGACAACTATTTGCCACAGTTTAAGGTAGATCTATCGGGTGTATTTTTTTCTGAGCGTCCTTTCTGGTCTTGTTGCAAAATTACTTATTTGTTTTACAAATAGTTTACCAAGTATCATTCAATATACAACAAAATACCTACAACTTGAAATTTAAAGATTGAACTATCAATATTTTTTTTTCAAGAAAATTAGGCCCCTGACCCCATTTTTTTTTTTTTATATATAAATATATTTCAGAAGTATTAATTAACGAAATTATCTCTTGGAATTTTAGACAATTCTTTGGTTTAATGTTTCTTCAATAAGGAAAACTTAATTTTCCCCTTTATAAACAAAATAAAATACCCTAAATGTGGTTAATTTCAATGTATTGTTACGAAAAAACAAGGTCCGCGATCCCCAGTTTTTATATTGAAATTTGAAATTACTTTGACCGAAAAGTCTTTTACAGAAGCTTACGAAACATTTATCGCCGAAAATTTTGACACCCCAGCTGCCTTATTGAATGAAGTGGATATAAGCAATTATAATAGGCAACCATAAGGCCATCAACCATGAGAAAATCCCTAACGTTTAGTCGGTTATAAAAGGCCCGACATAGTAACATTATTTTCTTCACCCTCTCCCTTCTTCCCTATACCTTATACTCTATAATTCTATAATACTAGTAATCTTCAATATTGAGACTTGAGAAGAAAAAATTACTTCAAAATTGTATTCTCTACTTCTGAATAATACACAACAGAACAACACAAGAATGCAAATTTCGCTATCCTTTCAAAATTGGAATTTGATCAAGAAAAAAACTGCATGTTCTATTTTAACATACATGTGTAGTTTCAGTTTCAACCATGGTTCTAAATTTAGATTTTACTTTCCCAAAAAATTGCGGACAGAATAGAAGACACCTGTTTATTTTCTGCTCCTTGAGAACTGAGATTTGGATGAGATAGATGATTTACTTATTCTGAGATAAATGTCACAGTGCTAAATTCTTAGTTTCTGTGTAATGTTTTGTAGACAGAATCTGATTTTTTTGTTCGTCTTTTTTTCTGTAAGCTTTGTCCTTCCACTTATGTATACATGTTAAAAATGTTTCACTTGTGGTCGATTACCCTTTAGTATCGTTTATACTTTTCACACAAATATAAATTATCCTAAAATTTTCAATTGCTTAAAAAACGGGACATGCCAACGCCTTTCTAGTTCAACATACATATTTACATGCAATTTACCGGCAAATATTCGTTACCTTCAAGATTACGCTACACTGACACTGTGAATTTCATTCAAATAATATTGTGGGGTCAATTCTGGATTGATTTTAAGGAGTATGATACGACTAGAAGCAGAATTGTCACTAGTTTATTTGTTTATTTTTAATTTCTGTTGAAATAAATACGAGCGGTATTATGTACCAGCTCCTGCGTGAGGCTAAAACAAAAACAGTTGCAGACTAACACACAATAGGATACTAAGATTTCTGATTGGAGTCAGCTAATTTCATTGAAATTTTGACATAGCACAGGAATACTTGTTTGGGTTCATGATAGACCGCACAAAGTCATTAAAATGATGATTTCTCTTTCATGTGCCCATTTCCCATTCTTGGAGTAGGGGAGATAACTTGCGTAACTAACGACGCACGTTTTGTATCACGAATTCCGCTAGAGGGCGTGCAATTACGTATACTTCGCCTTAAATGAAAATAAAACTTTATATATTTAGTGCCTTATAAACACTTTTATGGATTTACCTTCATCAGGAACACTCTCAAACCCAAACATTTGAAAGTCAGGGTTGTATATGTAGAAAACCAAAAGGGATCTAACATGTCTAAAGAGAATAGTCTAATCCATCTCATGTCAACTTTGCCTTTAAGTTAGTTATTTAATCATTTTTATGCCCCTGCCGTAGCGGAGGGGGCATTCAGTTTTACCCTTGTTTAATTTTTCAACAGGAAATTTGTGAATAAGTTAGTCTTATTTTTTACAGTTTTTGCCCATTGAAGCGACTTCTGAATATAGCCTCTCCACACTGATACTTGATCTTCTCCTTCTGTCTGTTTACTTTAATTAAATACTTATCAGAAAGTTGTCAGGGGCTGCTACTAAGGCCAGAGAATCTATTAGAGTTTCATTTGGGTTTTGTCTTGATGTATTATCAATACAGCCTTTCCAACTTGATTTTTATGAAAAATAGAAACGAAAAGTTTTACTGTTGAAATCATTCCCCTTTTAATTGACCTTTCATATTAACAAAATCAAAGTTTATCTTGCAATATTGTGATACTTTTTACTTATGAATATTTGAATAATAACTACTATTCTATTTCACATTCTGTTTATTTTTGTTGGTACCAATTTTCATGAATTGAGGAAAATCTGTATTTTCATACACTTATTTAAAAATAAACCAGAACAAATCTAGATTTAAATTTTGATTATTCCTCTAGCATTATTGAAATGAACCTATCCTTAACATTTTCTCATTTCAGATCAGCTTCCAACACGCCAAATCAGAGTCCAGCAACGACACCCACATCAGGTAAGTTGGTTTTATTGAATTGATAGCACGTCAAAATTCCAAGAATTGTTTCTATTTTTGGGATCAAACATGGCATAGGATAGATTAACATGTGACAAAAAACAGTAACATACAGAACAATACCTTGATAAATCAGCCATTTAAAGTAGATTAGGGGTTTTCCCTCGTCATGGATTGTAAGATAGCAGAAAACAGTCTATTTTGATCTATTATAAAATATGCAAATTTTGAGACAGGAATGCAATTCATTTGTAAGAATCTTCATTTAAATGAAGAAAGTTACAGGAATTTGATTCATATTGTTTTTAAGACTTTTGATTTAATTCAATTTTTTTCAACATTGCCATATGAGGGGAGATAACACAAATAATTCAATTTTATTAAGGAATGTACACTATAGATATCTATTTTGTTTTGTAGCAAAATAAACATAACGTTGACCCAAATTTTTTCTTTCATTTTCTTAAAGCACATCATAAGATCTAGCTTCTCATGTTTCAAATTTTAAAATTCTATCATTAAGTTTTCTTTCTATTGACAAAAAAGTGATTTTTCCATGTATATTTTTCTATATAAAATATGACACAACCTGTAGCTTAAAAGAAAGCTCTGTGACCCATACTTTTTATTATATTTTCAAAATAGCATGATATAAATTTCATTTTGGAAAAGTATAATATAATTCTATTGTTTTTTAATCAGACCCCACCCCTTCCCATTAACCTTAACATGATAAACTTCAGGTATAAGTTATAAGGGCTTCTGTAAGCTTTCCTTAAACTCAAACATAGCATAAACTTAATGGTGCCATCAAAATTCAGATTTCTGAACTTTTTATCTGAGAATAAATACAACACAGAAAACATGAAGAGCAAGTAAGGTTTAACAGGTGAAGATAAATCTATGACAAAAATCCTAGTCTTGAGACCACAATTCCTGACCATATTTACACAATCTTTTGACATATCTTTTAAGGCCTTTCACATGTATGTATATAGAATTAAAAGAAAAAATATACACTTCTTAATTTAAATATAAAATACAGTGAACACGATTTTTCCTATTTTACTTTAAATAAACTTTCCTAGACAGAAATAAAAAGGAGACAACTGAAAGTAATCTATATTGATTTTATTTTATCAGCTACAGTTCAGAGTCAACTCTTCCCACATCACTTGACCAACAATTCATCTAAATCACACCTGTTCATTTCATCACCTCCATCGATGTCAACAGTTACCACAGCAACTATCTCCAAGAAATCAAGTCATACAACAGAAGTTGGTAATCAAGGTCAAGTACAGTCTGGTACTGCAGGAAACATAGCATTTGTACAAAGTAGGTCAAAATTGATTTTACAGTTGAACCACAAAGTTAAAAGTTCAATGTAGTAGGCATTTTCTTTTGGCTTGTATGCAAACTTTGGCAAAACCAAGCAATCGAATAGCCACAAAAATATGATTTTTCCTACCAAAAAAAAAAAAAATTCACATTATGTTAATCTCAAATCAAAATCATATTTAATTAATAAGCATCAGTATAATTTATCTTAGTGATTATAATTTACTGACATAAATTCTTACAAACTGCTTTGATTGCACCAGGAGTAATAATTCTAAAAAGTCTAAATACAATTGCAAACCTACTGTAGTTAAAAAAAATAATGATAATTTATGAATTCAACAATTTAGAATTTAAAAGATTGTAATAACCTAAACTTGCAAATTTCTTAGTAATCAACCATGCAGCAACTCGATCCTGAAACAGTAAATGAAAAACTGGAAGTTTCAACTTCATTTTGAATTACCTTACTGATTTAATCCAAGTAATGAATTAGGGTTACTTCTGACTATCAAGTGGCAGTAAATCATCATGTTTTAAAGTTCATGTACGATAAAGTGTTTTTACAAATGTTGTACTTATTTTTTTTTATTTATGTAAACAGGTGGTGAAAACAGTCAAGGGCAGACAAACCAACCACAAGGTCTGACTAGTATCAACTTTAGTGGACTTCCACCTAACATCAACATTCAGAATATAACAGGTCTGTCAGGAATCAATATTGCCAACCTTCAAGGACTACAGAACCTCCAGATGTCTAATATAGCTGTACCTGTACCAATATCTCTTGTCAGCTCTAATGCTGGGGTGCTCCAGAATCAAGGAGGAATATTTGTCAGTTCAATTCCTGGTTTAGTGACAGTATCTAGCAGTGCACCAACAACATTATCACAAATAAAGCAGGTACAACTTACTGTAAACATGCAAATTTTAGCACTAGTGTTATTTCAGCTTAATTCACGATCACTTTAAATGTCTGTAAATATCCATAGTGCCAAAGGTTTTGTGAATTGAAATCTTGAAAACAATAACCTGTGAAAATATTCTTAAGGGCACCTGAAATTGATATTTCGTTCTCTGGATTTTGCCTCACCAATTTTTGACCTTTTTAATAAATAAAAAAAATTGCTGCACCCTGAATTTTCTCATCCGCATCCTGCACTTGATATAGAAATTAAAGATAAACAAATATTTGGTTTACTGTTCTCCTTGCTGCAAAATTATGTTAATTGTTAAAAAATCGGGAACAATTCGATAAATTGAAAAAATGTCAACCTTTTTTGTTGTATCGGCTCACTGTCAAGGGCAAAACCTACTGGAAAAAAACAGTAGTAGAATGCTCAACGGCACATTCGATGATTTATTCTAAATGTCAGTAGGTGCGAAAGATTGCAAAATTTCCTGAACGACCTCAGCCCTCATCAGAAGCAATGATGATCTCGGGTGTTGATATGAAATTGTCAGTTTCTCAAAAGTCTATCCAATGTGTGTTGTGTGTCTTGCAAAAGGATTGGAAGCGAAAACAGGAGGAGGGGGGGGGGGATTCAATAAAAGACAGAAAAAAAAAAAAAAGACAATTCAGAATTCAGTGTTCAAAAAGTGTTGAAACTTTTGTGACATCTGTGTATTAACTCTCAACTAGTGAAACATTCAGTGTTTTATTTATATGTGTGTACATGTATTCAGAGCTACATGTATTCAAGGATTTCTATACAAATCCTTGATGAATTATAATGATAATTTGATTATTGATTTAAAAGTTTATTTGGACATTTTGCTTTGGAATAGCTTTTGACAAATTGTGTATAAAGACCGTATAATTTACAAAACATCGGTTCATATAAGTGTATATTTGACTGTCTAGATAAAGTTGAAACGCACTCATGGAGTAGACTTTGCATTTACATGGGTGTCCACATCCACAATCAGTTCTCTGAAACTAATTGACCTACAACCATATAACTTAGTTAACTTGGTTAAGATGCACGACAACAAATTTTCCTTTGATTGATATAAATAATTTTTTGAGAAAAAAATCGCTTGCTCCATAAGCATTGTAATTAAGTTTGACATCTGCAAACAATATAAGTAGGCGGAGTTAAACCTTTATATAGGTAAAGGACAAGGTACAATAAGGGCCATTTTTGGCCCCCTCTTGAAATGAATTGAATTTTATAATTTCAATAGACTAGGTATAAAAGCTTTAAAAAATGACAATTTTTTGTTGTTATTATCATTATTTGGTTGCCTAGCAACAGATTTGAAACCTGCCAATTATATGCTATTTTAAACCTTATTTATAAAAAAAGTGTCTTTTCCCCATGAATCAAAATGTATAATTGTTAAATATATATATGGAAATCTAAAACAGTAATGTTTTATTTATTAATATTATCTAAACGAGTATTTATCAACACCTTAACCACCAGAATGACTCTTAGCAACAATACTGTGTACACACACTAAGCAACCACAGACTTTGGTATTTGTTCAAGGTTTATGTAATCAATAATGTGTTTAACCAAAGATATATTTCTACTGTTATGTACTTAAACGACAATTGTACAAATCTTACATTTTGTAAGCTTGTTTCATGCTTAGAAACTACCTAGCAACCGTACTTACTGCATAGCAACGACCCTTTTCATCTATGATTTACGTTGATGTTGTACTTTTCTGATGGTATTTTGTCATCTACGTTATTGATTTTTTGTAGATTAATCTCTATCCGACTATGGATGGAAGTAGCTTGGCGTTCACTTAAAGGAAACAAGCCCCATCCACCCCTACACAAAAAAAAAACCAAAAAAAACCGGACAGACGTTACCAAAAATCGAAATTATAGCGACCTTCATGCGGACCTCCTAATCATGACATCATAAGCATAATGATTAACCTTTGCTCCATAGCAGTTACTTTATAAACAGACTTCATAACTTGAACTATTGTTTTATACTATGATCAAACAACAATTTTATAAACTATGAACTTAATGAAATAACAGGTAGTTTTCTTTGGCAAATATAATATAAAATTACACAATGTTCTATAAATGTTCGTGGAACCAATGAGAAGCATTCTATGTAAGGAGTTCGACTTGAAGAATAAAGCTTCCCCCTAAATATATCATGTATAATAAAAAAACAAAGGATATGGGGTATCCATCCACGACAAAAAATCAGTACATGCACAGCAACAACAAAAAAACAAACAAAAAGCAAAGGAACAGCGCTTTTATTGCTGTTCGTCATCTCAAGTGAGGCCATCAACACGAAGCTAATAAACCTCTTACCTTACTGCAAGTTTAAGACGGCCCTTAGCACCGACTTGAGCGGAATTTTGTGCAAAAATAATTTGGATAGACTTTGTAACACCACCTAATCGGGCAAGGTAAAAAAAGAACATACTGGAAAGTAGTAAATATTTAAAACAAAATAGTTCCTACGCATAGTTGTGAATCTTAAACTATGTAGCATATATTTTAGCAATTAAGGTATCAAATGAAAGGTGAAGGACTGGTGATCCTTGTAGAACACACAATTTACTGATAATTTTGAATAATACAAAAATTATGAATGAATTCTAAAAATGAGGGCATATATAGCCTGTTTCTCAGATAGCTTACTAGGTTTAGTATATATTACGCAAAAAAACGGGCAAATATCATCATAAGATACAGCCTGATATGGACAACAACATACAAGCCATTGGTGAATATCCGTGAAAAAAATGCTAAAAGACAAGGCTTAGAGTCTGAATCGAAACTGCAGGATGTCCATATTAAAATGTAAGGTATTTGGATATACCTATCATAGTGCATAATATATCAACCACATTCCATATAGTAGTACCACACAAAATGTTTAATCTCCGAAGTGACCAAAGTTTTGTTTATTTAAAAGATACATAACATTAATTTTGGACTCCGATTTGGAACAACATTAAAACTGGGACCAAAATCAAAAATCTGTTTAGATTCAGCAAATCAAAGAACCCCAAGAATTCATTTTTTGATGAAATCAAACAAAGTTTAATTTTGGACCCGTTGGACCTCAATGTGAAATAATTTGAAAACAGGGCCCAAAATCTAAAATATATATAAACGGTTACATGCAGATCAATGTATCCGATGTATTCAGTTTTTGTTAAAATCAAACAGAGTTTAATTTCAACCCCGATTTGCACCAATTTGAAAACCAGTTCCAAAATCCAAAATCTTAATACATAGTAAGATTCAGCATATCAAAGAACCACAAAAATTTTAATTTGTTGAAATCAAACTAAGTTTAATTTTAGACAATTTGGACCTCATTGTAGACCAATTTGAAACAGGCCCAAAATAAAAATAAAATTTAAATCCACGGTTAGATTTGGCATATGAATTACCCCTTTTATTCAATATTTGACAAAATTAAACAAAGTTTAATTTTGGACCTTTGGACCTCGAGATTAGACCAATTAAAAAACAGGGCCTAGAATCCGAAATATATAAAATCACGGTTAGATACAGCATTTTAAAGAACCCCCAGAATTCAAGACTTTGAATTAAACCCCATTGAAATTGGTCAAGAAAAAAACAACAAACAACGTCATATGATAATACGGATGCAAACATTTTTCCGGTCGCATAAAAAGTGATCTATGAATACAAAAATCATGCTACTGATGTGGAATTTATACGGAGCCGAAATGAACTCTGAGAATACTATCATAAATCAAGACGTATTCTATTGTTAAGTCTTTAGTGATATACAACAAAATAACTTTATCATATTCGAGAAGAGACACAACGGAATGTCAATGTAAAGTTTTAAATTGAAAAAGAGTTTGCGAGTAATATATTGTATTAAACGTTACATATCAGGTTGTCCATGATTTTTTTTACCTTTTTATTATGTTATGATATTTTTTCATTTCAACTTTTAAAAAACAAGAATCATTTTGTAAGGAAATTTTTCTGCTATCCATTTTTACAAGTTAAACCCTTAAAAATTCGTGTGCGTTTGAAACTGTATATATACGATCTATATCGATAGGTAATTTCTTAAATATCATTTCTTCAAAAAGCTTCTATTCTACTGCTTTTGTTAAGAAAAAACACCCAGAAACATCGGAAATCAACAGCAAAAAACCCCTGAAAATGAGACTGGAACCCTGAGGAAAGTCCTATAACATCCCATTGAAAAGACTAATAAAGTATGTGTATTGACATCTGGCTAGATTGCTACTTCAGCCAATCTTTCTCGTTGAAATATGTTAAAATGATATCAGGAAAAATATATTTGACAAAAAGTAACCCAAGTGAGATTCGAACTTAAATCGCGGTATCCAGAAGCGGACGCTTTACCACTACACTACGTTGTCACAATCATGAAAGAGAGGTAAAAATGTGTATTTACAGTATGTCATATATTTGTAACTTTTCTTTGTTTTTTCTTCTTGAAAAAGAAATCTGGGACTGGGGCAAACTAACTCTCAAATTGTTTACTTTACACGTTTACTCATTATAAAAATTCTCACGTTAATATTAAACAGAACTTGTTCTTTTCGGCATTGGTCTTTCGCAAAGTCGTATGGAACCAACTCGGCGCAGGGTGTCTTGTCCCGAATTTACACATTATTCTGAGTATTTTTTACCCAAAAAGGAAAAAAAATAATTTTTTAAATTATTAAAACTATTTGTCGCTTTATTTTATGAGGTGACTCAACCGGAGGGACAATTTCAAAATGGCTGTTTATCGTGTGTGCCAAGTACACATGTTTTCACCATGTAAGGTGTTAATTTAAATTGATAAAACAAAATCCACCTTGATAAAAAGATAAAAAATACAATTTGAAGAATGATGGCAAAATCTTAAAACTTAAAACCTCACTTATCGAAGTATTCTTGCTTTTGTTGAAGGTGTCTTGCAGTAACAACCGAATGCGGATATTTTCAGCCCTTTCTCCGATTCGTTTCGATACTACTATTTCGACAAAAATTGTTGTTTTTAGGAGAGATTTTTTAATTTTTGAGTGCCTCCGCCAACGTGAGCCAATAATTTCTTTCCTTTTTGGGAAACCCCGTTTGTATGCCATCTTTATCACTAATTATTACTGTGGCTCACGTTGGCGGAGGCCTTTTAAAATGAAGGATTACAGTCCAAAAATCAACATTTTTCTATCTTTTGAGGTTATCAACGCACTTTAAGCAACCCAAAATCAGGTTTCTGTTTTACTAGAAGACAAAATACGCATATGCCACTGAAGAACAGATATATGAAAATCTTTTACGATGCTCAGTTCATTTATGTCATGAAAATGATTTTGTGACAAAATAGGGGGCCAAATATGGCCCTTAGTGTACCTTGTCCTTTGATTGTTTGATAATGTCCAATCAAATTTAAATATAATGTATACAAGTTTAACTCTGCCTTTTTATATTGTTTTCAGGTGTCAATCTTAATTACAATGGTTGAGCAAACATTAATACAAACAAAGCAAGCAAGCAAACCAAACCTTTAACTTGCTAGCATTAGGATAACAGCTGTAAACACATTCATAAGTTCACCATTTTTTTAAATCATTTATTTAAGTCATATATCAACAAAAAATTATAATATTTTTCACAAAATGGCATCTTATAATCAAGTAATGTTTAACTTTGAATTGAGAAGATTTCTTGAGTTATACAAAATCTTCAATGTTAAATGAATAAAATTCCTATATAGTCACATAAAAGATGATGCATTGCAAGTACTTTATATCTTACAAACACAATTGACTTAACATATTCTATAAGTGTGTATAATTTGTATTTTAGGCCAGCAGTGTGTCCTCAGCAGCTCCTAGTATTGTGACATTTGTAACAGCATTACCTAGTTCTGTGTCCAGTAGTGTGGTCAACACAACATCAGGTAACTCAGTTCTGTGTCAAGTAACATGGTCAATTAATACAACACCATTTTAATGTATTTTTAACAATATTTACAACACTGTCTTTTATGTTGAAAACTACTATAGAATTATTAAAACATAATTTTGGCATACAGTTATTTTTAACATTACAATACTCCTCAAACCCTGGTTCTGCCCCTGGCAACTATGGCTACCATGTTAAGCAGTATATTGAATGTCTTTACAGGTTCAACAGCACCAACTTCTACAGGGATGCTGTCAGTTTCTATAGCAAGTTTGGCTCCTCTTGTCAGTGCTGGAATGAGAACACAATCTGGATCTGGAATCAGAACAAATTCTCTCCCCTTATTACAGGTACTTATAATCAGGAAATAAATTTGTCAAAATTTCATCAATACATACAGTTGATAAACATTTATTTCCAGTTCTACTGTGAATTCATTTAATTTCATGGGTACCAATTTTTGTGGATTGAGGAAAAACCTGTATTTTGTTGGATATTTGATTTCTTGGTTTTGCCAAAGTCTGCATACAGACATTTAGAAAATTTGTACATTTGAACATTTAAATTAGTCGTTCACCTTTGCCTACGAAATTCACGAAAATTGGAATCTTTCAAATAATAATGAATCCACTGTATCAAAAATATATTAGGTATGTTCCCTTGTTGAGATGTCTTGAAAATTTGAAGAGAGGCTGAATTAAATCCATGATTCCATTTAGATTTTGATGCAATTCTGCAGCTAATGTAGTTAAAACGTTCTAACGAATGAAATTAATCTTAGCATGACAACTGACCCATTTTCACCAATAGGGTTCATCTGACCTTGATCTCATTTTCATGGATCATTGATAATCAATTAATGACCAGATATTTTTTTATGCTTTATTCCTATTGAACAAATTCTTATCTTTAATAAATGATCTTTATGATATATTTTTTTGTGAATTATCCTGGCAAGTAAAGAACTGAAGTGGTTGTCGTTTGTTGCTGTACATCATATTTGTATTTCATTCATTGTTTTTTACATGAATCAGGCCATTAGTTTTCTCGTTTGAATTGTTTTACATTTGTCATTTCGGGGCCTTTTAAAGCTGACTATGTGGTATGGGTTTTGCTCATTGCTGAAGGCCGTACGGTGACCTATGGTTGTTAACTTCTATGTCATTTGGTCTCTTTTGGAGAGTTGTCTCATTGGCAATTATACCACATCTTCTTATTTTTATGTGACCAAGTAAAAAGGTTCATTGAAAAAATATATTGAGCCAAAGAAGTTAGTGGAACAATACGCAAGTAGAAATGAAGACGGGGAGAATTTATCTGCCTAATATTGTTGCAGAAGAATTTTTTTTTAATAATTTTAAGACCGACTTCATCACATGTATGTATATTTTTCATGTTTCAAATAACATACTGTACATGACTGAACAACTCTTTAATATTTGTTTCTGACAGCATGAAATTTGTGACATTTATTTTTCAAAACACCAGTTATTCTGACAATACAATCCTTTTACAGATCCAAGGTCAGCCAGGTGGATTACAGCTTCTTGGACTTCAACAACAAAGAGCCCCACTTAAACCAGGAACAGCTACTCTTGCTACACAATCAGCTGGTCAAATACATATTGGAGGCAAAAATGCGACAAGTATCCCTAGTTCAGGTAAAGCTACATTTCACTGGTGTGTGGTTTATTCAGAGCTATATGCATGAAATAATTGCCACTGGACATTAAGCAAGGAAAAATCAATCATACTTATTAAATAATTAAAACTTAATTCCCAAAAATTTGATGACAGTATTTTAATTCTCTTGAATTTTGGTATTCGTAGAATGAAGTAAGTACATGATATTTATAAACCCTTCAAAATAGGCTAGTTTTATATCCAAATTACAATGAAATATATATATAAATGCATAAATTATATCATCATTATTTGGAAATAAAATAAAATTAATTTCCTGTTTGGAAACTGTTGTTTATATCAGTCTGTAACCACTGTCATCTGCTAGGAAACACATGGAAACGTGTGAATTTTTAATAAAAGTTCTCTTCATGGTCTCATGATAACACTCTTAACAAATTTTTGATTTTTTTGAAAATATTCTATACTTAAATGTTTAGTAAGTCCATTCACAATCTTTTAATTAAAAGGCTTTAAAACATGTATGTATCATTCCTCCACATTTGTCATGTTACCAACATGAATTTCTGTCAAAGCGCCATCTAAAAATGGGGGATTTTTACAAGCTTTAAGTAAAATGTTAAACGAACAGTATTTCTAAATTTTTACCTTTAAGGTGTTCTGACAGCACAGACAATAGGTGGTCACCAAGTTGCGCTGTCTCAGTTAAAGCCTGGTCAGCCACAACAAGCTGGAGGTCAAATTCCACAGCAACTGATGTTACAACAGATTCAACGACAACAATTCCAGCTGCAGCCATTCCAAATTAAACCACCATCAACACCAGTTACATCAGTAGGAGCTAACTTAAAACCCAAAAGTAAAAAGAGGACAACCCCAACACCGCCAAAACATTAATATGACATTGTGAATGACTTATTTCTGTGTATGGTATTTGTCTGAAGCCCTTGTGGTCTTGTTATTATTGTGAAGGTCATTCTATATGTTTATAAATGACCTTGCAATAAAATATACAAGTTTAGTGAGTTGTGACATTATGAGTCATATAAAGCATGTAAAAATAGAAATTTAGATTGTGGATTTTAAAATTATACATACAGTTTTGTATTAAATATAGAAAATGTATGAATGAAAATTCTGTATGAAATATGACTGAAGTTTTTTTTTATTAATGCTTGATTATGGATAAAATTGATGAATGTTTGTGCAGTTTTTTTTAAAGAGATATTATATATATATATAGGTAGAAATTTAGGATTGAAATTTTTATTGTTTATAAACATGTACTATTTAGGAACAATTTACATGATGATGAAGTATTTTATATGAATAAAATAAATACCATAAAAGAAATTAAAGCATTTTATTAATCTAGGGCCTATTGAAATATTTTATAAACATTAAATTTTAGAAAATGACTGTATCAATGATAATTCATGTCATCACAGAAGAGGACTGTTAATACCCTTTGAAACATCCAATAGCAGTGGCATCGACCCAGTGGTTGTAAAACTCATTAGAGATCACAGGCTAAAACTTAACAGCCAGATGCACATTTTTTCTACATAAACTCATTTTTGGCACCTTGTTCAAAACAGTTAGAGTGCCAAAATATAAATGTGAAGGTATTTGGAAACAAAAAAAAACCAAATCACTGTGCCAAATGAGTCAGTTTATGTCTGGGTTTAGAAAACCTGTCTTTCAAATAATTCATCCATTTATAAACTTACAGTAAATTTATAAAAAATTACCATATCAATGTTTTTCATGTCTGCTCAGAAGTACTGACTACTGGACTGGTCATACCCTAGGGACTAAACCTGGTGGTTGTAAATCCTCATCAAAGATAACAGGCTTATAATTAAGTTTGCCAAACTTACATTTATCTACACCAGACTCATCAGTGGCGTTAGAATCAAAACAGGTGGAAGGCCTAATTAAATACAAAGGTGAAGGTCATTGAAAACAAAAAACAACCCTAAAGTTGTGCCAATTTTGGCTTTGTCCATCTATGCCTGAGGGGGGGAAGGGGGTAGCAGTGTATGAACTGATGAAGTTGGAACAATAGAAAAGTCACTCTTCTTATGATAAAGGTAATAAAATCAATGTTAAACTACAGGTATGTTATTTAACAATTTACGTGCAAATGCATACGGTCTTGGGTTTTTGTCTCGCCTTGATGGAGTCAAAAAGCGAGACATAGGTATGCTGTTTCCGGCGGTGGCGGCATCAACAATGTATTAGTTTGTGATTAGGGCTAGTTTATGGTGAACCACTTGTGGTAGGTCAATGATATTTGGTATGCAGTTGTATTAGCATTGGCGCATCTCATTACCATGCAGATTATTAGGCCCTGCCCCCTCAGTCATGGTCTATTGACTTCTAAACTTTGCTTAGTTTACATGTATTAGTTTGTGATTAGGTCAGTTTATGGGGAACCACTAGTGGTAGGTCAATGATATTTGGTATGCAGTTGTATAAGCAGTGGCATATCTCATTTCCATGGAGATTATTTGGCCCCGCCCCCTCAATCATGGTTTATTGACTTTGAAACTTGCTTAGTTTTCATGTATTAGTTTGTGATTAGGTCAGTTTAAGGGGGACCATTAGTGGTAGGTCAATGATAATTGGTATGCAGTTGTATAAGCATTAGCACATCTCATTTCCATGGAGAATATTTGGTCCTTACCCCTCAGTCATGGTCTATTGACTTTGAAACTTTTGCTTAGTTTACATGTATTAGTTTGTGATTATGTCAGTTTTAGATGAACCACTTATGTTAAGACAATGATATTCGGTATGCAAATGTTTTGGCATTTGCAAGTTTCATTTCCATGGAGATTATATAACCCCACCCCCTCATTATGGTTCATTGACTTTGAAACGTTTACATGAAGATACCCTGATGTATACCTGAGCGATTACTGGTTATCTTAGTCATGATAGCTTTCCTATGTTTTTCCTTTTCGTAGAGATGACACCCCCTTGTAGCCAGTATTCCTATGGGAACTAACTGCACATTCCCACTGGCCAACTTCTTTTTGTACTTATTTGAAGCATATTTCATGCAAAACCCGAAAGACAAAAAAGAAACAAAATCTTGCAAACTTCTTTAATTTCACCTTCAGATATATTGAACATGTCCTGTTATTGAATAACCCACATTTCAGTGAGTACTTGCAACTCAAATATTAGATCGAACTAGATAGTTAGAAAACAACCGAAACTGGAAGGTCTTCTTCATATTTTTATCTTGTCCCCACCATTGACATAGAAGGACAACTGCAAACTAGAATCTATGACAAAAGTGATGATTTCAACTTTCCAACTGTCAAATTCCCATTTCTCAGCAGCAACGTACACTCTGCCCAATCCTTAATCGTTTCGGCAATTTGTACATTTTCCCTTTGATCTTACTGCTTAACATTTTTAACATCATGGACAGCCCTGATACTCGAAAATATTAGGCAATGTCATCAAGTGCAGCAACGTCACATCTACATCAATTTATCAATGAATTGCATGCGACTTCATTCATACAACCAAACCACTATCATAACGTTTTCTATGTGTAAATATAGTTTACCAACTATTTCATTTTAAAAATAAGGAGATGAGGTATGATTGCCAATGAGACAACTACCCACCAAAGTTCAAATGAAGTGGATGTAAGCAATTATAGGCAACCGTACGGCCTTCAACAATGAGAAAAACCCATACCGTATAGTCTGCTATAAAAGGCCCCAACATAAAAAATATGAAACAAATCAATTGAAAAACTAACGGCCAAATTTATAACAAAATAATTTACGAAAAACAAATATGACAGACATGAACCAACGACAACCATTGAAGTACAGGCTCCTGACTTTGGACAGGCACACAAAGAATGTGGCGGGGTTAAACATGTTTGTGAGCACTCAACCCGCCCCTAACCTGGGACAGTGGTGAAACAGCATAACATAAGAACAAATTATAAAAATCAGTTGAAAAAGGCTTAACTCATCAGATAGATACAAAGCAGAACAATCAAATAAAAACGTAGACCGGACGTGCCAGGGCATTTATCCATCCCTCATCCCTTACAACAAAAAGAACACTAAGTACAGATCTGAGAGTACTCGCAGTTACTGACAGCTAGTGCAAAGCCAATAACAACTAATAAAAAAATCATGTATCTTAGACTTAAATATCTATCAGTACACATCCAACATCCAATGGATTTAGTATAAAGACGTCATTAACAGTCAGAGAAAAACATGACCTTGTGCAATGCCAAAATAAAGCTATCGACAGTTTGTAGTACGGTTAAAGTGCATATATGTATAACAAAACTATTAAGTATGATTTTAATTTACTGATAACAAAATCAATATTTATACCGATAAAAACAATATTCAAAGATCTAATTACAGTGTTGAAATAAGTTTTTTTTACAGGAACAGCCAAACTTGCAAACCAAATCTTTGTATCTATGGAAGAATTTAGTAAAGGTTTTAAGTAATTTGTGGCAGAGATATATGTGTATATATGTCTCTGTTTGTGGTTACGAAATCCCTGACTTAATAATTTACCAGTAATACATAGATTACGCTCATTGAAATTCAAAACGTCACTACAGACACGGGCATAACGAACGAGTTGGGATATATAAACACCGTAAGATAGTTCCAGAGGAACATCACCGTCCAAAAAAGGAAAATTAACAATATGGAAAGAAACATCATCCCTTTTATCGTAAATTTGTGTGTAAATGTTTCTAGTGTAAAACTGAAATGTCTAAATCTAGGAAAGGAATATTCTCAACAAGAAAACACATATTGTTAAAACAAATTGCTGATAACAAGAATAATGACATTTTCATTTTTTTATACTGGCCTCATCCATTTGAATATTAGGTCGCCCTAACGGGCTCGGTGGATATTCTTGCTGATAAAGTCAGTATCAAAAATGAAAATGCCATTATTCTATGTTTCTCAATTGATACGTGCCCCTTACACAAAAACTACACAACAGAGTTACAAGGAAGTGGCGACTGAAATCGACACTACGTAAGTTTTACGGCCACAATCACAAACTTGACAATATGTCGCAACTTACTTGTGTTATGTTTGCCGTCTTAGATCTGTAGATAACTGATATAGTCTTCTAATTTGTATTGTTTTACCAATTGTGTCATATTCCTGAGTGTGGATTTGCATGGCGGGTAATGCATGCATTGCAGGAGACTCTTGCACAGTCTCGTTCCATTTTCCCTTCGGAGTTAATATGTATCCTTCAGATTTTGTTTGTTACCTTGATTTTTGTTTTCTTAATCGATTTATAAAATTTTAACATCGATAAACTACTGTAAACTTAATTCATCATGTCAAAGCATTGGTTTATTAGATCCTTTGTTTCAAAGACTTTCCTGTCTGCAGAAACTCTGTTTTTCAAGGAGATCCTGATAGGTAACACACGCTCTGGAATAGTATATAAGGTTGTAAGTTCGAGTCCCGTACGTGACAGGTGCGTTCGACTCTAATCTTAATTGCATGACTACGATTGTCAGTTTTCATACCGAAGGTCGGTGGTTCTCCCCGGACATTCCGGCTTCCTCCATCAATAAAAATTGTCCGCCACGGAATAGCCAACAGTGCTGAAAGTAGCGTTAAACACCTACAATAAAATATAAAAAAACAGAATAGTATATCAACCTAGAGAGATATAGTATATATATGCAGGTGATGATGGAATGTGATCGCATACATATCAATAGTTCACAATGGGAAAATTCAAATTATCTCTTCTATCGTACAGTTTATGTTTCAACCGTTCCTCATTGTCGATTACTAGATAGAAGTCAAAGTATTTATCAAACCTAACTACATCTGTTGCATCCTTTGCTTCAACTGGAAAGATTCGACCAAGTGACCATGGTCACCAAACATTTAAAATGTTTAGTGGATTCAGAAGGGGCATCGTCTTTACATAAGAACATTGAGTAAAAGGAAGATGCCAACGTCTTTTCAGCCTCCGGGAGTAGCCCTTGCATGATAATCGCCCCATACGAATGAAAAAAAAGAGAAAAAAGAAACGAGTGTATAAGAGGAGGATCATAGTCGGATCCAAGATAATAGTGTTTGTGGACAAACATTACAAATATGTTCAAGAATCTTGATTATTTTTCAGCACTAATAGAAACAAGGGTTTTTATTTTACAAATTATATTTTACCTCACCTAAAACACATTTGGTATCTATATCGGCCCTTCTTTTTTATATAACTGGACTAATCCGTCCAATTTGGCTTTAAGTTTGAAACGAAGACTACTTTTAAAAGGGAACGAAAAGTCAGATTTATTAATTATATTGCAAGTAAAGACGGTATTAGTTTCACTGTAACTCGGAAGCACTGTTTTGGTTGCTGATATTATAAATGCTAGTAATTTTAAAAACCAGTATCTAGAATTTGACAAAATCAGCAATTTGGAATTTTTCGAAAAACCATTGTGTAATTTGCATATCCAATACAGTGAAGGAAGGAAGGAAGCCTCATTGTTTTTACATTTGGCTTAAGTTTCAAAGAAACATAAAACAGGCCTACGATCTTTCAAAATTTCTTTTATGATCTTTTATAATTGTTATTTGGGTAAACATTGGGTTACCAAGTAAATTGTCAATACCTTATTCCCTTTTTAAACACTTCTAATTTAAATGTATTTAAAACACAAAATGGTAATGTCCTGAGACTATTCTTGCGGCGACAACCAAACAGATTATATGTCACGATGATAAGACAGAATTGTACAAACTATGAATCTTTGAAAATTGATAATCATTGGCGTTCGTATATCTGTAAAGGTATTTAATTTTTGTTTGTATCAACGACCTCAGTTTTAACACAGGCGGAATGAATATATACGTTTTGCCCAATGGTTGTCGATACTAATATGATTTATACTCTCTCAGACAAAGTTGACGTTAGGTGGAGTTGGCTATTCTTTGTATTACCCTTTTGATCATATAGCTCTTCAGAGTATTTCAGTATTTGCACATCGTTCTCTTTCAATTTTTATTCGTTTGAGCGTTTTTGATGAAAAGGTATAACCAGAAAAGCCTTTCGAAAGCACACAATTTATAAAATGTGTTATTTTTATTTCTGCCATTATCTTCGACAGAATCCTATAAAATGTAAAGTGAAGTTTCCAATAACATTAGACGGTACCAACCTCACTGCACCAGATGCACATTTTGACCAATTAATGTATCTTTAGTGATGCTAGAGGCAAATATATTTTTAAAAACAATAACCAAATTCAAACGTTGATGAAAAGCCAGCAAATTCATAAAAATATCAATCAGTACCACCTAACCTTTGATAAACACATCGACAATACAGTTGGCTAGGGAAATAGAACATTAGAATTTATCCACAGGAATCTAAAAGGCTACACAAACCAGTAAAGGCGGCTGCATATGTGTCCATTGTAAGGCCTGCAGTGGAATATGTATGCTTAGTATGAGATCCAACAAACCAAAAGAAGATCAAGGCAGGTACAGAAAAGAGCAGCAAGATTTGTGAATAACATCTACACAGACCGAACACCTGGCTGTACGTTTCACAAATATAGTCAATACATTAAAATGGAAAAGCCTTGGAAAACGGAGGAAAACAAACAGATTATGCATGCTTTTCAAGATCCAGCATGATCTAATCGACATAGATCGTCAACAATACATGACCCAAAACGATAACCGGACCCGAGGTAAAAACCGCTTTTACCAAAAAAGAACCAGTACAGATGACTACGGCCAATATCTCTTTTCAATGACCATCAGGGACAGTAATAATCTACCAACATCAATATTGACGGCCAACACAGTTGAGGGATTCAGAGCTGCCTTGAAGACAGGCTCTGACATGAATCAGGCAACACCAAGATCTACATAATTTTAATTGTAACAATATTGCAAAAATTTTAACTTTTTTGATTGAGCGTCACTGATGAGCCTTTTGTAGACGATACGCGCGTCTGGCGTACTACTTTAATCCTTGTATCTATGATGAGTTTATTTAAATGAAAATACCCAAGAGAGAGAGAACTTTCTGTTTGCCCGACACTGCGCAGAGTTTTCTCGCGGAACCATGCACATTCTAGTATCAAAGACATGCACGAGAGAAATACATACTATGTATGGATTCATATCTGTGTATTGGGACCTTGCATAGGTGCAATCATAACATTTTAACTTAAAGATAAAATGTTCAGATACTGCAAAATGTGTATGCAATTAAAATCTTGGTTGTAAAAGGTATGATATATTGAAACATACGAGTTTTTCCTTGATTGATTTGTGATAAAGTAAATGGCCTCAATAAATAACATCATGTGACCTTTTAAAATTTGATTTTAGCTGCCTATCTTTCTCAATGCGTGCAGGTCCGAAAAATCGGTGAGGAGCAATATTTTAGATGATAGTTGTCAATTTGTATTAATTAGAATTGGTACTTTAAACAAGGTTTAGGTGGATAATTTGCCCATTATTTCAGATTAAAAAGGGGAAGTGAATTTGGTTTCACGTGAATGTGATGTTTTTCTTCGTTATAAATCATAAAAGGTTATTTATCAAAACGCCACAAAGGGTAGGCAATATACAATCACGACTAAAATCATGATTCTAAACCAGATAGTAGAGTTGAAAATATCTCGATTACGATCACTGAGCTGCAATATGGACTTAATAGAATACCTTGACCATAAATAAACTCATCATAGATACCAGGATTAAAATTTTGTATGCCATATGAGCATTTCATCTACAAAAGAATCCAATTGCCTTCTTTTATCTTCGGAGAGGTAGTAACAGCGAGGTTGCGAAAGGTGGTAATTCATTGTTCTGTGATATATATTTTTTCGATGATGCGAACTCTCCTAACAATGATTGAATCAGGGCTCGTGGTTTCTTTTTCAAGAATCAACGCTTATTCATTGTATCTATAATACATATACAATATCGTAAGAAATATCATTATTACAACTTAAAGGTATAAATTTGTTGCGCCTACCTTTTATTTCACTGACATATGGCAACCCTCAAAGGTAACTTACTAGTCCATTTATGATATAAGTCGAATTACAATATAGGTTAAGGTTTTGAACAACCTTATTGTAACTTACTTCTAAAATAAACTCATCAATGATACCAAATTTATATTTGATACGCCAAATGGCCGCTTCGTGTACATACGAATCGTATGGTGCGCTCGAAACAATATAGCTTGTAGACCAAATCTATTACGAATTTATAGATCAATGAAAAAAAAATCCCTAAAATGTGCAAGTTTTGCTTAGTCTATCTATGCCCTAGGAGTGGGCGAAAAGACCTTCCTGTTTTGAACTATTTTAAGTTTTTTGAACTACAGAAAATTACCGAATAGGGATATGACATATAAGCAAAGGAGCACTGCATACTTGGAAGGTGCTACCCTGGTAACGAAACGCCCTCAGCCATAGCATCGACCCAGATGTTGTAGCGCTTCGCTTACATACGACTCATCAGTAGTCAACACAGCAAACCAGTCTCTTCCATATTATTTGATCATCTGTTCTAAAATTTTGCAAGTTTTGCAGTTTTGGGTTTTAGTTAAAATATAAAATGCTGTAAAATTATTAAAATTCAAAATATCCTATAGTTAGAAAACACGTTCACGTGCGACAATTACTTTTATTGATTTTACAATATATATGGAAACTACTCAATGCAAAGTCAGAAACGAGGAAAGCAAGGACGGTCGATACTACGAATTTTCATTGCGTAAATTTGAGCCTGTGTACGTATTAAGGTTTTCAAGTTTTGCTTAGTTAATCAGGCCTTCTCTTTAATTTCAGAAGATGAATTGGTTGTAATTGAGTTCAGTTAATTGTTTTTAACGTTACATCAACATAAATTCGACAACGTTTGCTGGCTTGAATTTACCGTTGTTGGTGGTTAAGTTATAGTACTAGCATCGTAGGATAACTTATAATTTAGTATATGTTGTAACAAAAAAGCTTTATGATTAAGGCTTTTAATACGACAATAAGACATGGCACAATTATTTAAAAAATGATAGCAAAACAGTTTGACTTGTACATTTGTAACATGTTTGAACAACAACAACAACAACAAAACAATAAATTAAATCAGTCGAACTAAACATGTAAAGCTATCCAATCATTTTCATTTCTGTTAGAACGCGGTGTTTTATTTTTCCCATTATTTAACAATGTATGATCTTTTTCATCTTTTTCAAGTGATAGGTTTGTCAGTTTTCTGGTATCGACATTGATTTGTGATTCAATTATGTCCGCTTCAACAATATCTTGCAGTGCTTCTTCAGTTGCCTTTGTGATTTCTTGTTTTCTCTCTCGTTCAACTTTCGATGATCTACGCAATGCTATCTTCTTTTCAAATTCTTGTCGAAGGATTTCATCTTTCTGTGAGCTTTCCATTAACTTCTTAAAATCATCAACGCGACGTTTGAAAGCTGGGTTTCCGTCCATATGTTTAGCCATTAGTTTATGTAATTTGCCTCTAACTCGTCCAACCTCTGTCTTTTCTACATCAACTGAGCCATCTGATATATCCTTCATCATTTTAGCCTTTTGTCTTCTATGAATCATCTGTGCCTGCATCATTTCACTAAAATGTACCAAATAAGTTCAAATACTTAGCAATAAATCAGATTAAGAGTTTAAGGGAAAACGCACCGTTTAATGAAGAATGGCACTTATAAAACCAATTGTTGGAGATTTTTGAAGCAACGCCTGTGAAAATCAGATATAGACATGAATAGAACATTACCAATACGTGTCTTCTGTGATTAGAGTTTAAACTGTATAATTGAAACATAATCACTCAAAAAGCGGGTCATCTACTTTCACAACCAGACCAGAAGAATAGCGTTAAGATGAAAAATTAAATCTAATAATGACACATGTGCCATGAGCTGTATTTCATACTAATCTTAAGCCATAGTCATTTTATGTTGGCAAATTAAATTTGCTAAGAAACAGATTTATAAGTAACCGGCTTTTAATGCAATATTAAATTCATATTACAAGCACTTGAAACACACTTTTTGTTGTGTAGAAATAATACATACGCATATTCTATTTCTCCGCTGTCATCATCATCTAGTTTATCTATTAATAACTCTAAACAGTGTTCTTGTAGAGGAATTCCTGCCATCTGTAAATGAAAATACTTATATAACTGATCATTGGCACCATATAGATATACTGTAATTTCATTATTATTCAAGGGATAACAATTTTTGTGGATTTCGTTGGTATAGGTACACTGCAAAATAAATGTTCAACGAAATATGCATTTTTCTATAAGTTTGTATCCAGACTTTGTCAAAACTATGAAATCAATTATCCACGAAAATAAAATTTTGCATCAATCCACGAAAATTGGTATCAATGAAAATGAAAAAATCCATAGTATCGTATATGAAGGTTTTCATACATGGAACATTAATTCAGAATTTGAAATATAAAGGAAAACCATGCAGAAAGATAAAGAATGTATAACATTTAAAACGGATTTCTTTTTCAAATATTTCTGTATGAAGGTGTTTATTACAAAATATCTGGTAACATAAAGGTATATATATATATTCTGTGTAATGTAGTTATTACTCGTTTTGTTGTAGTATGGTATTGAATTGTTATTGGGGTTGTTTGTGGCTATACACTTACACGATAGAAAATGTCTGTGTCCAATGTAGATTTTAATCATGCTATTTGAATACAAAATCATAAACATCACCAACCTTGCTTTTTAAACCACAGGATGTGCGAACTTCCCTTACTTTACACAAAATATATATGGAAAAGGTAAATTTGCATTAAATTTTATTGTCACGAAACCATAGAGAAAAATAACTGTAAAATTTATTCTAAACTGAAACCATTGGAAACCTTTACTTTTAAATCTTTAAATTCGTTAATAAATTAACAACACGTGTTTGTATATATATATGCAAGATACAATAGCATAATAATTTTACATGTTACAGATGTCTGATTACAAATGAACATATTCGTATTGCTAGGTAATCAGTGCATTTTATGTTTGCAATTTTCAGTAAAAAAATATAACAATGGTTTAAGCCACCACAATTTTCTGACACCGAACAACCTCACAACAACGAAACATTTTCGTGTTTTACTATTTATCTATAGTAGATCTCAGATACGTGCAACAGAAAAATTCAACATTTTAAGCTTTTTCATAAACTTTCTGTTCTTATTGTGTCCCAGTTATTGTTTATCTATATGGTGATATCGGGTTTTTTTTTACAAATAAACACATAATTTGAAAGATGGTAAGCAAGACGTTCATACTGCTTCTAATCTATAAACTGCACTGCAACAATAAGATAAAACTTTTATATAAATAAATATATTGCCAAAAAGTATAAAAATGATTAAGGTATAATTTGATTTAGATCATTTGTTCATTTAGAAATATAATACTATTTGGGTTGGAAAATTTTTTCTTTAAGAAGTATAATCGATTTTGGTTTGGAACATTGGTTCGTAAGAAATATATTGTAATACTATTCATTTTGGAACATTTATTGTTTTTAGAATATAATATTATTTGGTTTGGAAATTTGGTTGTTAGAATTAAATATTAATATCTTTAGGAGCATTTTTTCATTTAGAAATGTAATATTATTTTGGTTGGAACATTTGTGCTTTTAGAAATGTAATATCATTTGGTTTGAAACTTTTAGTTTTTTTTTTTAAATACAATACATTTTGTTTGGAACATTTGTTTTTTTAGAAATATATTAATATCTGGTCTGGAACATTTGAGTGTAAATAGAAGTACAGTTTTCATTCAAATTATGTAAAATATAGTTAAAAAAAAATATGTGAAAGTATTTAAATCCTTTATCATAATAAAAAGTAATTTACTAGCATTGACCAAATATGCATATCTTTTTCTATCGAAGAATATTTCGATAATAAATTCAAGTTTGAAAAACAAAAGAAATTAATTGAAAAGAGATATTCGTATCTTCGTTATTTTTATTTGAATTTCAATTTTCAAAATAAAAAAGAAATTGAAGGACAAAAACAATCTAAGAAGTCAATCTACACTACAATACTAACAACACACAAGCTATTAACCCAACAAAACTAAACGCAGCCCATAAAAGATAGTAACCTACTTCATAAATACCCTGCAAAATAAAAGTCATTATATATGTATTGTAACAACCAGAAATTGTGTTAAAAGTTGCAAAAAAAACATAAGATTCTTTATTTATATTTGTCGAACATAATATGATTTATGTAAGTCAAAGATAACGTATGAGCTTTAAGGAATCTGTGTCCTTTACTGAACACATACTCAATCTGTATGAGTAAATAATGTAACTAGTATTATAAATATATTTACTGATAAAAAACTTCAGCGCGAAACATATATTATATACATGTTTTTGAATCCTATTAAACATACCCTGTATTTTTACAGTATCTTACAAAGAGTAACAAGCCACCTGAATGATATCAAATCTCAGAATCCAACGATTAGATAGAAGAATAATACCAGTGTGTTCCATATTTCGAATACTAGTAATTGAATTAATTGTATTTTTTATACCCCTATTGACAAATAAGAATGTTTAAAGAACTGGGGCCATGTCAATGAAAGTATCCCTAGCACGTAAAACAAAGCTAATTTAGGACAGTCCTATCTACGATTGTCCTAGGACCATTCTATAAGACTATCCTTACACAAATAACATACCATCAAGCCAGTTTTTATTTCACTTTTGTCCAAAGATTTACTTCCATCTTTGTCAAAAACAGAAAAGAGATCCGTTAGCCGGAAACCATTCATATGTCCGAATTCCATAAGCACTATTATAGGATTTTCATCTATTAGGGAAAGTTCATCATCATCGTCACCAGAACCATGAGCTCCACGAATTGGTCCATGAATAAATGTTATGTCCCTATCTTCTTTTAGTTTTTTCACATTCTCTGAAAATTCTTTCTCTACAAGCTGCGTCTAGAAAAGAAAATTAAAGTTGGAGAAAAGAATCCTCCATCGGAAATGACAATAGCTACATAAAGATGCAACCTTCGTATTCTAAACATTCTGGAGAGGACTTCCAACTGAACAGCTTTTATTCCTTTTGTGTGTTTTTTGCAGTTATGCGTGAATGTCATTTTATTTATCATATGCTATGGAAAAAATGGAAACAACACGTTATAAATTTCATGCGTTTGAAGCGCTTTTCTTGATTTACCGTCATCAGGAACGCTCAATGCCGAATATTTGAAAGCCAAGGATGAAAAAAAAACGAAACAGTTATATAACTAAAAAGGACCTAAAAAATGGCCAAATCCATCTAAGACCAACTTTGCCTTAGTGAGTTGAAACCTTAGTTTCTTTATAATTTCAAAATTTATAAACGATAATAGCAAAGGGACTGAATAAAGGAACAGTCAACGTTATACAACGATAACAGCACTATAACACACGAAAACCGACAAATGACAATGTGATTTCAGAAAGAGCATTAGTTGTAAAAGAGGGGATATTAAATATTGACGTGCTATTTTAGTTTCAAACATCATCATATTAACATCATAATATAAACATACAACTCTTTGTTCAATTTCACGATTACGACGATTCGAGTTACTTTTACTGTTCTCTTTTTTGAGAGATATTTTCCAATTGAGAGTAAGTCAAAAGTTGGTTGTTTTGTGGACTGTGAACTTTGGTCAAATCTTTGTAATTAATATTGAAATATGTCAAATAAAATGGGTGTATAGTGTTAAAAGATTGAAACTCCACTTATTGATTATCTTCAACTTGCAAACTTAATTACAATGCTTGGGCAAACACCCAAGTAAATTTAACATGCAAATCAAGCAAAATGTTGTTCTGCGTGTAATTAGAAAATAGCTTTAAAGCTGTAGCTAAATATGATTTGGTTTTAATGTATTTCTCGTCAATCAGGGGTTAGTTTTGGTCCTTGTGGTGTCTTTAAAGAAACAGAAATCTACATCCATTTCAATGCTTACTCGAATGTCAACTTTCTTCAGCCCTGAGGTAGGATTATCGTTGATAAAATCAAGGATCATCTGTGCTCCCTTTGTCGTGATAGGATTCCAGCCTAACTAAAACGAAAGATAGTAAATGATTATGAAAATGAAAACAAAGCCTGAAATTCCTGTCTTCTAGTCTTTTCAAAACTCATCAAACTTTCAATTTCCAGTCTATTGCAATATACAAATATTGTGACTTTAATAATTCAATTCTATAGTAGGGATAAATATTTATGTATAGTATATATAAATCAGGAGGTGCCTATCCGTTCGATGCATTGTACCATTATAAGCTCTAGCAATTCCAAAACATTTATACATTGTTTTCCCGAAGAATTAATTCGAATCAATATTAGCCACTTTATATATATATATATATATATATATATATATATATATATACAAGTCTAAATTGAAAACAACGTTCAAACCTATGATTGCGTTGGATAAAAACCGCAATTTTTATACGTGTGCATGCAAAACAAATTTCTTGGTAGAGTGGTCTAAATACAACACAAACAACATTTTCCAAAAGACCAAAAAAGTGAAAAAGTATATTTTAACAAAACGCATTTGACTAGCAGGTCGAACAACGGATGTTCTTAAACCCTGCTGACTGCCATGGCGATTGCCAAATAAACAGATCACCAGATGTAAAAATGGATCTTAATTTATTAATAATTTACCAAACAGAATACAATAAACTTGCGGAAAAGATGGTATACCGCAAACATAAGGTGCAAAAATTTGTACACCATATCCGGATTTCGACAATAAATGTCTCTTCAGTGTAGAAGTAATCATTTTGTACATCTTCGAAGTTGTAATCACAAACTTTTTGGAGACCAATCCTAACACGCGTAGTCGAAATTATAAGCATTATTTACAACCTTGAAATAATTGTGCACTTTCTTGGATGTGTTATCAATACAGCACAATTGTCATACTTACTCTACCATTTCTTCCTTGAGTCGATACCTACGTCTTATTTACTTAACCAATATTAACTATTGGTTAAGTAAATAAGACGTAGGGCATCATCATGTTTAAACTTTGCATTCCATCAAATCAAATCAATTATCAGGAAAGAAGAAGAAAAAAGATGGAAATACATTATGCATACCTTCAACACTTGTAAACTCTGATTAATTTTCATTCCTTTTAAAAGTTTCTCTAAGGCATCTTTGTTTATCCTGTTACATTCCAAATTCAGTTCACTTAAATATTCATTAAATTCTAAAGCTTTGGCAAGAGATTCACAACCACGTATTGAAAATCCGTTCCATGATATATCTAATTTCTTTAAACCTTGATTCAACTGCAAAAAATGAACAACAACCAAGTCATGTTTATTCATAAAACTTACACATTAAATATACATCTCCTTTATTTATTATTCGACACACTAAGATTTTTCGACTCCCTATCCGTATTTGACACAATTTTTGGTTTTTGATACTCTTCATCTTTGTATTTGAGATTGCCTTCCAAGTGTTTTGATTCTTTTGCCACCGATGATTTTATTTGAGATTGCCTCCCAAGTGTTTTGATTCTGTTGCCACTGATGATTTTATTTGAGATTGCCTTCCGAGTGTTTTGATTCTGTTGCCACTGATGATTTTATTTGAGATTGCCTCCCAAGTGTTTTGATTCTGTTGCCACTGATGATTTTATTTGAGATTGCCTCCCAAGTGTTTTGATTCTGTTGCCACTGATGATTTTATTTGAGATTGCCTTCCAAGTGTTTTGATTCTGTTGCCACTGATGATTTTATTTGAGATTGCCTTCCAAGTGTTTTGATTCTGTTGCCACTGATGATTTTATTTGAGATTGCCTTCCGAGTGTTTTGATTCTGTTGCCACTGATGATTTTATTTGAGATTGCCTCCCAAGTGTTTTGATTCTGTTGCCACTGATGATTTTATTTGAGATTGCCTTCCAAGTGTTTTGATTCTGTTGCCACTGATGATTTTATTTGAGATTGCCTTCCAAGTGTTTTGATTCTGTTGCCACTGATGATTATATTTGAGATTGCCTTCCAAGTGTTTTGATTCTGTTGCCACTGATGATTTTATTTGAGATTGCCTTCTGAGTGTTTTGATTCTGTTGCCACTGATGATTTTATTTGAGATTACCTCCCAAGTGTTTTGATTCTGTTGCCACTGATGATTTTATTTGAGATTGCCTCCAAGTGTTTTGATTCTGATGCCACTGATGATTTTATTTGAGATTGCCTTCCGAGTGTACTAATTCTGTTGCCACTGATGATTTTATTTGAGATTGCCTTCCGAGTGTTTTGAATCTGTTGCCACTGATGATTTTATTTGAGATTGCCTCTCATGTGTTTTGATTCTGTTGCCACTGATGAGTCTTGTGTAGATGGAACGCGCACCTGGCGTATCAAATTATAAGCCTGGTATCTTCGAGGAGTTTTTTTTAAATCATAGTTATGTATTCTATAGTTAGTTTGTTTTCATAATGTGATAAGGAAATAGGTTTTCAATTATTTGTGAGACTTTCAGTAATCTGATAGTACTATTTTAGAGCAATGAGGGTGCGATTTTCGTAAACAACTGGTCTAAAATCAATACTTTCATAGCAATGAAAGTCACATAAATAACATGCAGTGTCAAACCAATGTTAAAGCTTTTGAAGCAGCAAGACACAGCACTTAATTCAATGATAAACATGGATGCTTGAATTCAGAAGGTCTGATAATGTAAAAACTAACAATCCAAATTAATATATAATAATGTATAAATCTGGATTTTTTTGTAATTTTCAATTTTTCTCAATACTTTTTAACAGATTTCTGAACTTTTAACACATTACTCATACATAGCTAAAACATTTTTTTTCATTTACAACAAAATGTTATCATAATGAAAACGAGCATCGTCATGTGTGTCATCCAGGTCTAATTTATTGAAAATTTCACATTATCAGACTTTCTGAATTCACGCGTTCATGTTTATCATTGAATTAAGTGATATGTCTTGCGGCTTCAAAAGCTTTAACATTGGTTTTACACTGCATGTTATTTATGTGACTTTCATTGCATGCTATGAAAGTATTGATTTTAGACCAGTTGTTTACGAAAATCGCACCTTCATTGCTCTAAAATATATCAATAAACCTTAAAGAAATGAAGAAAATATATAAAAAATCTCATTGTTAAAATATTAAAAATAACATGTTTGCAGAACTATAAAAGAAAACCACTTAATTCAGCACTTGCGACTGGTAAGAACTGAATTATGTTTTACAAGAAGACCTACAAATGTCGGTTATGATGAAGAAAAGTTTTATAATCGCTGTATTATTTCTCGATGAACTTTTTTGGATTGTTGTCTTAAAGTCATCCAATCCATGATATGCTCTTCCCGTATTTATGTATTCTGACTATACACCTGTAACTGTCGTTCGATTGTTACTCTGTCTATGTCGTCGCGATGTTTCGATTCCTACACGTGTAAGTATATTTATGTATTCTGACTATACACCAGTAACTGTCGTGCGATTGTTACTCCGTCTAAGTCGTCGCGATGATTTGATTCCTATACGTGTAAGTACTTACTGCTAATCCATTTGCAATAGCATCAGCACCATCAAACCGTAAATGATTCCAACTGAGATCTAATTCTTCTAATGTATCGTTGATTTCTGAAAAAATATTTTTGAAACGTTCCTGTGCTCTTCATTTGATTTATAAATTGTTGACTACATATACAACGATGGTAAGATTATTTATCAGGGACTAACAGTTCAAAATCAGTGTTGATGATGCCAATGTCAGTGAATACGACCTCAAAAATATTTTTTTTGAATGCGATTTGTAAAAACAACAGAATCGGCCATAAAGGGACAGACGAAACCGTGAAATGTAAACAGTGCCAGAGGGATTTGCATTATTCATAAACGGAACATTTACACTATGAAACATTGTATTCTCTTATATTAAAGAATTTTGTATAAATGCTGGCTTCGAAAAGAAATGACTAATTATTAAGTCTTTGAAGCAGACCAAGAAGTAGTCTGCATGAAATTTCTAGCAGTCATTTGGCATACAAAATATCTTATTGTTTACTGCAATATCAAACTTCAAATTTTAATTAATCGAAAATCCAAGTCCAGATAGACGTAAAAGTCAGATACATTTGTATTTGAGTGTATGTTATACCGCTGTACTATCATCTTCTTCTGTTATACCGCTGTACTATCATATTCTTCTGTTATACATTAGCATGGCTTCAGAATAACATGTAAACATAAAGATTAAGAGAGAAAATGAAATGCACTTACTTAATGCGTCGCCTATGACTTTCCCTCCAAACTCACGAAATTCATTATGGCTTAAAGTTAGTCTTAGTAAATTATGTGTGTCCTACAATGTACAAAAACAATTTTACAAATGTTATGATTTTTTTCGCATTTCACCATTCTTTAAACGTTAAATGTCAGCATTCATCAGTGCATATATTCAACATTGGGAGTTTTTAGTTGATAATATCATAATACCTTAATTTTACAGTCACAATAGTAATGTGCATATAATTTCAATTGATTGGTATTAAAGTGAGGTTGTATGCTTACGTAAAGATCGCTTCAGATAGAAACTTTAATTCTACTAATGAGGTTTCCAGACCTAATTAAAATACTACTGACTGATGAATTGCTTAGTATTACGTTAGGAAATCAATGAAACATAAAATCCATGAAGTCCACGAAGTATATTTATGAATTTTCCTATTGTTATGAAAGACGAATTCCTAAAAGTCTGCTTTTTTACGATTATACTTATTTAGCAAAAAAGTACACGATTTCATTAATTTTAACAAAAATATCTCGATGGTCTGGGCTAAAGAAAATTACAAAAACATTAAACATTACGTCAGAATACCTCCATTGATCGATAACAAATCGCACAACCACTCATTGGAGAGGAAGAGGGTGAGCTCTGAAAAGGTAAACTTCTCCTTCGATGCTTGCATCGTGTGTCTTGTGATCAATTGGCAAGTGTAATTGAGATAAAGTCCGGGGAAAGAAGTCTAATTCAAGACAAAAACATTTCCACTGACCTTAGAATATATAAATAGCACCCGTAAATCAATTCTACAAGATATAGAGTCAATTTCCTTGAATTTATTTCATTTCGACTGAGGGTCATTTTAAAACAAGAATGTGTCCATAGTACACGGATGCCCCACTCGCACTATCATTTTCTATGTTCAGTGGACGGTAAAATTGGGATCAAAACTCAATTTGGCATTAACATTAGAAAGATCATATCATAGGGAACATGTGTACTAAGTTTCAAGTTGAAGTCCAATTTCAACTTCATCAAAAATACCTTGACCAAAAACTTTAACCTGAAGCGGGACAGACGGACAAACGGACGGACGGACGGACGGACGAACGAACGGACGCACAGACCGAAAAACATAATGCCCCTCTACTATCGTAGGTGGGGCATAAAAAGTATCTTCACTAAAATTCACTGTAAAACAGCATCATGTATGTATTTTGAAGTTCTTATACAATTATGGCGAATCTCCCAACATGATTTCAAATTTTGAATGCCAAAAGATGGTTCAAAACTACAATTTTGATAGAACTTGGTAAGTTTTTGGTATATCCTTCCATGCAAAATTTTACAAATAAACAACCGAAAAATACTATATCTTAATTTTGCCTTCAGCAGCAATATTACATCTGGGATCTGTTCGCGAGGTTGAATTAATCGTCTGTTCAATATGTAACCACCAAAATTAATTGGTATTAATAAGGGGTATAATTTTTGCGCTAAAAAGTCATCAAATTATTATTAATTTTTCGTTAAATTGTCCCGCGCCAAATCTGATTATCATTAAGACTGTTGACATCTTACCTCGAACAGTTTTCTTAAATGTATTGCATCAAATTCACGAAAACCATTTCCTAGAAAATGAAATTAGACAGAATAAATTTCATATTTTTAACAAAGTGTATGCTTATAATCTTACTCGTGTCTCAATTTTTATAAAAAGTAAAACTAGGCATAAAAACAAAAACGAAATATTTGATGTATCTTTATAAACGACATATGCATTACAATCTGAATGAAATGAGATGTGGGGTGGGGTATACTTTAATTAAATAACAACCCCAAGACACACACAAAGACGTTTTGAGAGCATCTTAGTTTTCATCAGTTGAATGGTGTCTCTAAATATGTCTCGGGTCTGTTAGATTTTTTCGTCGTTTTTCTTTTTTGCCATTTTATTGTCTGTTTTTCTTTGATGTATGAATGTTATTGTCCCTTTGTCTCTTTTTTAAAGCTTTAAAAACACACTGGCTAGGACGGGTTACCAATGTCCTGTATTGGTACACAGAACACTGTAGCACTCGATTTGTGTGTTCCATCGAACGAGTTTACCTTGGAATTCGGTATTTTGTTATACTTTTCACTACTACCATTCGATGTCAAGTATCTTCATAGAAGAAACTTTTCTGCTGGTGGATTTCCCCCCGAGGGCATCATAAATTTGGTTGCTTTATGCATGATAGACAACAATACAAAGAACATACCGGCCAGGACGTCGCCCGGGTTACCAAGGTCATATATTGCAACATCGAAAATTGTTGCACTCGGTTTGTATGTTCCATCGAATGGAATTTACCTTGGAGTTTGGTATTTTTGTTATATTTTTTTATTGATAGATATTGTTACACCATTGTTCTCGTTTGAAATTATGTAAACTTTCAAGATAAAATCTTACCTGAGAGATTCAATGAAGTAAAGTTGTCTACCTCTACTGCTATATTCACAATGTATTTAGCACCTTCAATACCAATCTGACTGTCCGATAAGTTCTTCAATATGTCAAACAAAACCATTATCCCAATGAAAAACAGTGGAATTTGTGTGAATCTTTTTAGATGTGTCAATTAGGATTTTATATATCGAACTGATGTAAAAAGCTTTAGTAACGGTAACAGATTTGCCTGAATTTTGTACTTGTTTCAATAAGATTTTTAACATAACAAACTGCTGCACAATATAAGCAACGGATTTTGCTTAATTTCTTTAATTTTGAAAGAAGGTTTTTGACATAACAAACTGCTGCAAAATCTTTGGTAAACGGCAGCGTATTTTGCTTAATTTCTCTATTGGTGCAAGAAGGTTTTTGATATAGCAAACTGCTGCAAAAGCTTTGGTTATGGCATCGGAATTTGTTTTAATTTTTTTTTAAAGTTGCAATACGGTTTACAATACAACGAACTGTTGCAAAAGCTTTGGTGATCTAGCGAAATTTGTTTGAACATTTTTATATGTTGCAATAAGGTTTTGGTATGACAAACTGCTGCAAAAGCGGAATTCAGTTGAATTTTTTACAGGTTACAATAATGTTTTTAATATAACCATGGAAATATTATATTTCATTTTACTTCCATGATTTAACAAACTGCAACAAAAAGCTCTGGTCTTCATATTGACAATGTTTATCGTAATTAATCAAAACATTCAATGACAGAATGCTTAAACGATTAATAAAAATCAATAGGCATATTCTGAATTTGTGTAAGGGAACTTACTAAATCAGTAATGATTCTGTTATCTGTTAACATTTCAGCTATATATAAAGCACCCTTTGGTCCTATTTCATTGTCTGTCATATCTAACATTTGTACTGTTGGATTCTCCTATAAAATACCAACATACTGTTAGTTTTATACTTAAAAAATCATACAGTTTCAATTTCACTGAAAAAATCATACAGTTTCAATTTTACTGAAAAAATCATACAGTTTCAATTTCACTGAAAAAATCATACAATTTCAATTTCACTGAAAACAAAATGTAAGAAAAGTAATTTAAGTGAATATTGTTTTAGACATTACCCACATGGTGATGATGCAGGTGAAAATATTAATATGGTAACACAAAGATAAGTTTGTTTTTATTGCTGCTTTTTCAAATTTGTTTTGTTTGTTTATTGTTTTTGTTGTTGTGCTAAATTATACTTTGACCTCAAAAATATTGGAAATATTTCGAAATATTTCATGTAGCTCCCTGATATTCAAATTCCTAAAGTTTACTTACTGAAAATGTCTGCATGGGCAAACTAAATAATGTCCATAGGTCTTAATTTATTTGTTAATTGAAAGAAAAATTATTTAAGATGAGAATACTAGTATATGTATACTAACAAGAAGAGCAACAGACATTGTTTTGGCATCCTTTGGACAGAGCGAACGATGCCTGACGGATACTCTCTTTTTTGACAGTTCCCGGATGAAGGATGATACAGGTGAAATATTTAACATTTTACACATCCGCCGATATTGGTTCTCACAATATGATGCTTGATGATTCGAAATATGTCATGTAGCTCCCTGATAGTCCTAAAGGTTACTTACTGAAAATGTCTGCATGGGCAAACTAAATAATGTCCATAGGTCTTACTTTAATTGTTAATTGAAAGAAAAATTATTTAAGATGAGTATACTAGTATATGTATACTAACAAGAAGAGCAACAGACATTGCTTTGGCATCCTTTGGACAGAGCGAACGATGCCTGACGGATACTCTCTTTTTTGACAGTTCCCGGATGAAGGATGATACAGGTGAAATATTTAACATTTTACACATCCGCCGATATTGGTTCTCACAATATGATGCTGGATCCTTATCTGATCTGGATTCACTTTCCTCCTCTGAAATGTATGTATTTTGTTTACAGATTAAATAAAAGTATTTTAGTATGTGATGGACGTTATGGAATTACAGAGTTCAGTAAATAAAATTAGAATAATTAGTGTTTTTGAATTTTTGATAGTTGTTTTTCTTTACTTATTAAAATTCACTGAGGCAGGAATTAAGAATCCTAGTAAATATTTCAAATGGGTACATCAAAATGTTGCAATTTGATTGGTTATCAAGTTTTAAAGAATGAATATTTTACTAATAAAGTTTCGTTATTTTCATTTTGGTTTTGGGTGAATCTTTACATATCACAAATGTTTTATACTACGAAAAAACAATCTATCAGAATACATAATCAGATTCTACACCTTAAACGTTGAATGATAATCTTTAACGTTGAGATGAAATTGCTCACAAAATGCAACTATATAGTAAATCTAGATCTCGCGTTTTCGTCAAAATACAATATATTTAAGCTTTAATTGTGCTGAATAATATTGTAATAGAAAAATAAAACATAAGATAAACACCAAGTATGTGCCAAAATCAAAATGCCAGCCAGAACCCTCTCTATTCTGTGCAATGAACATGTAAAGTGATGCGTACAACAAAGAAGAAGCAAAACTAAATCGCATTGTAATATCAAATAAAAACGGTTAGTTACATCAACAAAACTGTTAAATTTTACACTATAATGTACAAAGCCACACCATTGTTTAACAAGAATAGTGCATGTATATGCCATCCCCACAAAGACCGATAAAATATTCAAATGCAAAACAAATGTATACGATTGACTCCTCCTACTGATGACATTCTAGATGCCAGAACAGGTGATGGTGAACAACTTTCAAGAGACGTAGTCACAAAGCTTTCTTCGTAGTCTTTAAATGTTTGTTTTGTGTCTGGTTTTGAACACGGTTCTAGTTCAACTGAGTTTGTCCCTGTTGCCAAATCTTTTAAACAAAGAACGATCATTCTTAAAGTATCAAAACTCAATAAAAGTTACGAACAGTGACGCACCATTTGTCCTCAAAACGGCTGGCGTAAAATTTTGAAAAATAGAATAAAACAAAAACGAACAGTTAAAGTAATGAAAAAAAAACCCGAGTTTTATGTTTACATAGCAACATCGAAGATTATCTAATCTAGACTTCATTTTAATGTTTTAACCAAACTTAAACAAAAAAGTGTTCGTCTGAATGTAATTATTTAAGCATACCATCAAAGTCGAAATCATCGTTGAACTCGTCAAACAAGTCTGTTAAAGAAGTATTATAGGTGTGTAAAGACGATTCACAGCCCCCGTATTCACTGTCTATTAATGACGCCTTTCGTCGCCCTGTCCGACGTCGTGTAATGATGGCACGATTTGTCTTCCGACTGGCAACCTTCGCCTTGTTTCTGTATTTGACCGCCATGACATATGGTGATGCTGTCTGTGGTCTTTTAATAAGGCTTCGGTTGTCATTCTGAAATACCGAGCAAAGTGTATACAAATACCATATGTATATAGATAATATCTTTCGAAATAAACTAGGTGGATATCTTTTCAATTACCAGAGTAAGAGTGCTCTGATGTTCAATATATTTGTCCAAGTTTGCTGGTTGCCACCCTACGTTGTCATAATCGTCAAATACAGAAGGAAAAAAAACTTATTTCTGAAACATCAAATAAATATAATAATCATACAATTCGACAGGTACTTGAAGAAGGAAAACGTTTTAATTAAATAATTTTAAAATGTTTTTAAATTAAATTGTACATAGAAAAACTCACGATTTATTTACTTACATTGTCATATTTTCTTATATTATCTTCGAAACTAGGACTATTCATTTCATGATATCCGAAGTCAGGTGTAAAATAATCAGAATTATCGAATATATCAATATCTTTAAATGCATTTAAATCCATTTTCAAAATATTGTTATTTTTTCACCCATTTAGACTCTACTTAGCTATAGAACAAATGATATAAACGTTACAGAAATTTAACAAGAATAGCTTATAGCTGCCTTTGGTATTGATTTAATAAAATATTATTAATAAATCATGTTTTAGTGTGTAATACTATTAAATCTCTCCTATATAATTGTCAAATGTATACACAATGTTTCTTCTTTGTGACGTCAATTTGGAAGTGTAAAATAAATAAAAACTGACGATTTTCCTTTTTTCGAGAGATAATTCTAAAAGTTTGATTAGTTTGGTCATTGATTGCCTTAATTGATGCTGTTAACTTATTTGTCAGCATTGACCACTGAAACATCTATTCAAGTTCAGTATTAAACATCCATTTAGGTGGTGCAGAAGAGTCAATTAAATCATCAGTGGATCTAGTATAATAGATATATATTGCCAGGAAACAACGCAGTGTTATGAATAGTTCGTAATTGTCTCTGATTTCCGGAACAACTGAAGATAACCTTTTTATAATGGATACCGTTTGGCCATTTAGTAATAAAAAAAATTTAACAATGACAAGTCATTGAAGATATTTTAACGGAAGTTCAGCTTTCAAGACTAGTGGACTTGCCTCTTTTTTCTGGGGCTCTGTAAATAATTTTAAATATGCTTCATATAGTACAGTTTGTATATAACAAGCAGAAAGCTTATCAACTAACTGGAATGAAAAGAAATGAAGAAAACATAATTAAAATTTCATCACATCCACAATAGAAACAACAAAAGAGAGAACAGACAGCGTAGATGTCAGCACCTTACATATAAAAACCAATTCAAACTCAGGTCCAAATCAATACCAGCACATACTGATAAGTTTGGATAAATTCTACTTAATAATTACAAAACGAAGGGTTTGAAATACAACAGAAAAAGTTGATTGGCGAAGGTCCATAATCCACAAAAGCGTGTAAATATTAATTTGGTTTACAATATGAATTTGAATATAGGGTGTTGCTTGGTATAAGTCAATGCGACATCCGCCAAACGACATAAAAACCAATAGACATATAAGGTTACTACTTCAACAAAGTTATGTCAAGTTCTTAATCGCCTCAAGTCTAAATGTCTTGATAGACAGTGACTATCAATGGTCTGCCTTAGACACATAATTCTCAAAAATAACAATAACCATTTAAGATGGTCAAACACTGACTAATGTTTAACCCCGCCACATTCAGTATGTATGTGCCTGTCCCAAGTCAGGAGCCTGTAATTCAGTGGTTGACGTTTGTTTATGTGTTACATATTTGTTTTTCGTTCATTTTTTGTACATAAATTAGGCCGTTAGTTTTCTCGTTTGAATTGTTTTACATTGTCATTTCGGGGCCTTTTATAGCTGACTGTGCGGTATGGGCTTTGCTCATTGTTGAAGGCCGTACGGTGACCTATAGTTGTTAATTTCTGTGTCATGTGGTCTCTTGTGGAGAGTTGTCTCATTGGCAATCATACCACATCTTCTTTTTTATATTATGACATAGACATGAACATGTTGCGGGTTAAACTAGTTTCTCGATTTTTGTTTCTTCATAATTTAGATTAAATAAATATTTCATGTAGTAATCACAAGTTAAACCATGAATAGCTTCATCTTATATTTCATTAGAAATAGAAACAACACAGCAAGATTAAGTGTTGTCTTGATTGATTTGAGTGGTTTTTTTTACGGCCTTTTGATTTTGATGTTCCCGGAAATTATATGTATGTAGCCTACCATCGTTTTGGTCTTGAGGGTACCAGATTTATTTTCTATCAACATGTAGTTGTGCGTACTGTTATCATTACGATGCAGTAATTTTAGTCCAACAAAAATAATTTCATGGATTTTTTTTATCAGTCTTAATACATTTGAATGTACAAAATTATATTATATAACTTTAAAACCTTTTACAAAGTAGCAACGAAGCATTTAAAGTATCAGAAGAACATATCCAAAAGTAAAAATATTATCTACCTCAAGTTGTCATTTTACGTTTTTGTTTATGTTGTTGACTTGCTGTCTTCTTGGCGCAATTATAAAACATAACCCCCTAAATATAACAAGTATCAAATTTCAGTAAGTCAAACTGGTTTAATTAATGTTCAACCAAGAACAAGTTTACAATGAATGACTTTGAATGTCTTATTGAAAAATGTTTACAGATATGACAACTGATCTCTATGTGTGCACACGTATCAAATGACAGGAAAATAAAGCTTATCATTTGACTTAAATTTTTACTTTGAAATTATAATAAAACAATATTTGTATAAATACTTGATCTTATTGTAAGATATTGTTGTTTCAGAATACGATAAACAAACTTCCTGTTGTCTTTGTCTTTTTGAAAGGAAAAAAGAAAGAAAGAGAGACTGAGAGAGAGAGAGAGAGATATGGATGGAGACAGGGAGAAAGATCTGGAAGGAATGAAAAAGAGTGAAAGGGTAAATAGTCGATGCTGACGATCATGATAATGATTGATTTATCAGTGAACGTCCAGCGGCAATTATTACATGCATATCAGGACAAAAACAGGTTGATGTCACTAGGCAATAGTACACAGGAAGACATGTCATCATTCATGATCACATTATTCTGACTCAGAGCCTACTGGTCTTTTCTATTATTAGTATTCACCTGAGCACCTGAGATCATCACCACTTCCCCCCCCCCCCCCCTGTTTTTGGTGGAGTTCGTGTTGCTCTGTCTTTAGTTTTATATGTTGTGTTTTGTGTACTGTTGTTTGTTTGTCTTTTTCATTTTTAGTCTTGGCATTGTCAGTTTATTTTCGATTTATGAGTTTGAATGTCCCGTTGGTATTTTTCGCCTCTCTTTCACACCGAATCAGGTCGAGTGGTGAGGGGAGAAGGCAATTATCAGAGTTTTTGGTTTGATCCGACCAGGGATCGAACATACGACCTCCCACACTCGAGGCTAGCACGCCTACAAATGTATATGATATGTATTTTTTATAAAGAATCCTGTATTTATACGTAATTTATTGTCGTTTCGGAAGATGAGAAATAAACTTCTTGTTATCGTTATCCATTTGAAAGGAGAAAGGTAAGAAATGGAGAATAGGAAAATAGGAGGATTGAGAGAAAAGGAAAGAGAAAAAGGTCTAAGAAGACATGTACAGGTGGAAAAATGAAATAAACTCTGAACAATGACATTTGACAAAAAAGAAAGGGGGTCTAGGAGAAAGCTATTTACAAGTTTGTTTCTAGCACCCATCCCCGGGGCAACACACTCTTACATCAACTATGTGTCAACATATCAAAAAAAATTCAGACACACTCAAAAGTAAATTAAAAACGAAGGCGAAAAAAAAACAAAATTAACTGAAATAGTAAACATAAAATCCTTCATTTCGACAGGAAACATGAATGCTAGTGTGATTTCAATTTCTACAATGTTACGTTCGACCTTCGGTAAAAAAAATATAATACTATCGAAATTCATCGTTAATGGAACACTATAAAATTAATTGGTATTTCTATATCAGCTGTCAGATATAAATGATAATCTTAAATGTCACAACTTCTTAACTTGAATATCGTTGTTTCTTTAAAAAACGAAACATAATACTAGGGATTTGAATATTTCAAATCAAAGGTCGCTTATGATTTAAACTTCTTTTACTTTTTTTAAACACAGAAATTACGTTTCAAACAATAGTATCAAACAGACATTATGTCCTTATTAAGAAAAAGTGTTAGGAGTACGAATGAAAACAATCTACTAGTAGATACTAGTTAAAAATATTCAGATTTTGGCCCTATATGTTAGACCTGGTTTGTTATTTTTATGTCTCTCACTGGGTTTACAAATACATAGATTTAATGTTTTTTTCTTTTTATCTTTTCCTAATTTTTTTGTAAATACCAGCGTTACAACATTTATTTATTTTTATTCAAAAACGTAATGAACAAAAAATAAAACAGCAGAAGAAGAAATGGACTATGAAGAAAATAGCCAAAGAAGTGTATTTCTGTAATTGTTACAAGATTGGTCAATTTCTTAATGGTGAAGAAGAATAGAGGATAGCCGAACATTAGACATTAGATATTTTTACCCAATCATGGTCCCTTGTCAGGTAAGTTGCATAACTATCATAGAACAATTGATAACAAATTATAACTATGGTAAACCTGTGTAAATAAACATTCTCTATCCCACACTACCATTCTTACTTTCCTACTTTGAAGTATTGTCGTTCCCTATTGTTAATTTTTCTTTTTATGGATGTCCACAGAATGAAAACACTTTTCTATAGTGTTTGTATTTTAAAGAGTTCAAGAACTTGATATAAAGCAAACAAACGTATAATTAATGGATGTTATAGAAATGTCCTCTGTGACATGAAAGTACATATTAATTTTAATTATGCTTCTACTTAAACTTTTGATCGTTTTTCAGAATTAGCAAATCTTAATGAATTTTTGTACTAGAGTAATATGATCTTGGAGTCACGTTTACTCTAGTCTTTCATTTCCCTTTCGATAACATCGATTTTTGGGAAATGTCAAATTCACCAAATTGAAGTGTATCTTATGGAAAGTGACAATGTGTAAAAATGCAAAAGATTTGGCTTCATTTATCTTCCAGAAAACAAAATACGAGAAATAAGTAAACGGACGAACGACGGACGAACGAACGGATTGATCAATAGGTATATACTTTTATTATGTATTTAAGATTGTGTCTCATAATGACAAACGAAAATAACACTTTTAAATTTCGTGCATCCGAAGCGCTTTTCCCTTTTCGCATTTATCAGGAACAATCAAACACAAACATTTGAAAGCCAGGGATATATAGATACATAAACACGTGATGAAAGCCAGGGATATATAGATACATAAACACGTGATGAAAGCCAGGGATATATAGATACATAAACACGTGATGAAAGCCAGGGATATATAGATACATAAAAACGTGATGAAAGCCAGGGATCTATAGATACATAAAAACGTGATGAAAGCCAGGAATCTATAGATACATAAACACGTGATGAAAGCCAGGGATATAAAGATACATCAACACGTGATGAAAGCCAGGAATCTATAGATACATCAACACGTGATGAAAGCCAGGGATCTATAGATACATCAACACGTAATGAAAGCCAGGGATCTATAGATACATAAAAACGTGATGAAAGCCAGGAATCTATAGATACATAAACACGTGATGAAAGCCAGGGATATATAGATACATAAAATCGTGATGAAAGCCAGGGATATATAGATACATAAACACGTGACGAAAGCCAGGGATATATAGATACATAAACACGTGACGAAAGCCAGGGATATATAGATACATAAACACGTTAGGAAAGCCAGGGATATATAGATACATGAACACGTGATGAAAGCCAGGGATATATAGATACATAAAAACGTGATGAAAGCCATGGATATATAGATACATAAACACGTGATGAAAGCCAGGGATATATAGATACATGAACACGTGATGAAAGCCAGGGAATTATAGATACATAAACACGTGATGAAAGCCAGGGATATATAGATACATTAACACGTGATGAAAGCCAGGGATATATAGATACACAAAAACGTGATGAAAGCCAGGGATATATAGATACATAAAAACGTGATGAGCTGTGTGACCTAACTTAGATGACAAATTTGATACCGACTTTAGGAAAGCAAGATTTTGTATCATACCTCAGATATTCTAGAAATAGGAGTCCTTGCTGCTGACATTTCTCCTGCTATATCCATATTTAAGTTAACAAAAGTTAGAAATTTTCATCCAAAATCAGATCAATTTATTTTTAATGGTTTAACAGACATATTTATTTACTGTCCATTCAATTGTTTCAATGGCATAATGAAAAGTTATTCTTGTGATCAAGATTGTCATTTGATCTCAGTTATGTTTGTGTACAGTTTAACCGTATAAATAGTCTTCTTATAAATTTCTTGTTTTACGTAGTAAAGATAAGTTATATTATGGAAAATTATAACACAAGTACAGAAGATTATTAATGTCTAACTAATCATGCAATCTGTACGTAATCACGATGTCCCTTTTTATCTAAAATCAACTTTTATTTCTGTCATCTTAAGATACAAATGCAATGAATCGCGTATCCTTTGATAATATTTCCGTTAATTATACTAAGGGCATTCCCATACTCTTTATAAAATATATCTTATGTTTGTATTCAAAATAAATTTTAAAATCGTATGAACTACCAGTATTTGTTTTTAGAATTATGCATTATCAATTGAAATGTCCATTTAAATCTCTGACTTAAATTTTAAAATGCATGAATGTGTAAATTTATCATTGTTTTTTTTTTTGTATTGACGGATTAAAGGTTGGTTAACGACCCTAAGCGGATATGGATAACGATTATGAATAAGACCATACAATATATATATATTTATGCAATGCATTCATCATTAGGATAATACGCGAAATCACAAGAAGGAGGGTAGGTACTGGATTAAGATGTCCATTTTCAAAATTCACATTGTCAATTGATCAATTGATAAAGTACATGCATATAGTCATTGCTAATGTTGAAAAAAGTAAGTGAACGATTTCCGTCAAGATGAATAGTTTTCTTTAATTTTTTTGCCAGTCAAATGCTGTGCATCAGCTAGCTCTAGAATTTCAATGGTCAATGTCATTACAGATTGATAAATTCCATTGTGTTACTTTGCAAAATTGAATTCTAATGAAGACAAAATCATTCAAAATGTATATGTATAAATATCCATTTATTTTGATATATCAATTTTGTTAAAACCAGAACGCATCTTAAAATATGTAAGATTCTTAAAAACAGTGATAATAATTTTAAAAGTTTCCGAGCAAAATTTAACTCTTTCATGCCATTACACTTCCAAACAGGTGCTTTCGTAATCAAAAAGTAAAACAAACAAAAAATACCGACCTCCACGGAAAATTCAAAGCAGAAAATTCTTTATCAAATAGCAAAATCAAAAGCTCAAACACATCAAACGAATGGAAAATAACTGTCATATTCCAGACTTGGTACAGGCATTTCTTTATGTAGAAAATGGTGGATTAAACCTTGGAACAATATATCTAATATATATATGTTCCTGATTAAACCTGGTTTTATCGGCGCGGGACGTTTGCGCTTTTTTATAGGACATTTGCGCTTTTTAAAAACGGACATTTGCGCTTTTACAATATTTGCTTCTTATGACATCCCTCCTATTTTATCCGGGCTTAGGACCGGTAGGTTTGACCTGGCAGAGTTAAAGTCATAATTTTCATTAAAAGTTAAATAGTCATTTCATAGCACATTCGTGTTTAAAAGTCATTTCATAGCACATCAATATAGTTATATATAGCTAAAAGTAAATATTCTAAAGACAAAAAGACACGTATAGTCATCACAATGATATCTGAAGCTTAGACAATGAACAAATATAGCTCTTGTAATCTGTCCGGACTGGTATTTCGCCCACATTTTAAATAAATATTCTAGTTTCACTTTCTAAAATCTTGACTGAGGTCCCTGTTCATCAATATAACGAATTTTGACGTAATTAACCGACTGTTGTTCAATGATAAGAGTCCACCGTGACATATACATTGTTTTTCTTTAAAGACAAGAATACAAACATGACAATAGCACAATAACGCAATGGCGGGAAGTATAAATACCGAGCCACGCCAGAAGTATATTACCAAAAATGGACTAGACAGTAAAGGTTAAAAATATACAAAACCAATAAAAAGGACATATAACACGGAATTAAAATGATAAACAACGTCAGTACCTAGAATCTATACTTCAAGACCATCGTGTATTATTTTTGAAGTTGATACGGAATATTTATCAACAAGGTCTAGGTATCTTCCGATGAACTTTTTTTTTTAGAAAAAAGACGAGACGTTCTTTGACATAACCCTGGTTCGTCAACTTTCTGCTCTGACACTGGTGACGTATTATAAAGTCAGAGTAGCAGCTGCAAGCTCTTGAATACCAAATGAGTTGGGAAATTTATATCCCATATGCAGGTGAAGTTTGTATATCGCTGCTAAGGGGGAAATTTAAAAGCAAAAAATTCTATCTGTGGTAAAAAAAAATTAAATTGAAACGCTAAAAGTAGTTAGACATTGTCATTCATGGGCACGTATCTCATAAAAGGAGTCGTCTAATGAATATGTTAGAAAAGGAAAGTTTCAATTGGCTGAATACTGTCAGAGGAATTTTTTTAAAGATCACAGACAAACGTGACGAAAACGATGAACGGCAGAGAAGGATGCAAAATGCTGAGAATACCAGAGAGGGGTTATAAAGAATCGCTTTGTTTTTCTCACAGGTTAAAGAAGTGTTGTTATATAAATCTGAAATTTCCTTATTGGCTATTATAGTTCGTCATCGATCCGTATATATGTGGCAAAAATCAGTTTAAAAATTATATTAGTATTTATAAAGGTCACACGGGACAAAAGGCGGAAAGTACTTAAATATTTTTAAAATCTTTTAATCCAAAAAAAGGCTTATATCCACTAATGTGAACTCTGGTGGATATTTGTCTCATTGGCAATCATACCACACCTCCTTATTTTATATTCGTTGTACTTGAAAATTGACATTAAAACAAGTTTACATCGAAACACAGCACAGTAAATTCCCATAATTTCTTTTGTTATAAGTATAGTATACAAATTGATATTTTCGATAAAAATGTCATTTTAAAAAATGATTATTTAATTTATATATCTGAATGCTTCTCTTAAAAAGAATATTCAGACACAGGATTAATTACCACACTTTATTGAAAATGTTATAGATGTTTTTTTATAAATTAAATACAAAGAAACAAACGCAAAAAAGGCACGATATATATATTGCCATTGAAAAAGTGGTAGAATAATCAGACAGTTGGTTGTGGCCGCTTAACAGGAAGAAGAAAGCTGGACATACTTATGATATTTGATTATTACATGAAACGTTAAAGGAGGTTACGTTTTATATTATATCTTTTCTAATTTTCTGTAATGGAAATATATTTGAAACAAAGCTTAATTGAATGTATTTTTTACTGACTCAAGAAATGCCAATTTTCGGAAAGTATTCGAATATATGTATAAATCAAATAAAATGTTTTATTATTCCAATCATGGTCCCACAGGGGGCATTTACAATTAACACTTATAATTAGATATGACAATAAATAAGCAACAAACATGAGACATTGTACAGCATATAATGTGACAGATATTATAATAGACATATGAAAATAATATTAATAATAAAATTACATTATAAGTACTCTTGAATATTTTTTCCCAGTATTATTTCTATGTCCAACAGTGCACCTCGTGTTTACTTCAGCACAATTATAAAAGATATAGAGAAAGGAGTGAAAGTATATTCGTTTGCTTCGCAGTGGGTACAAATTGTTTTATATTTCCCCGTCAGAATGTTTTTTTTTGTTATGTTTTATTTAATACATTGTCTCGGATATTAATTCATCGGTGCCACGAAATATTATAGAAATGGTTGACAATTATGGTTTTTCTCTCTTTATATATCTTATTCTCGTGTAGAACATACCTACAAATAAAAAAATACAGCTACACTTGGTTTTGAATATAGGCAATGATTTGACTTTTCTTACCTGTGACTTTTCAGTCTTAGATTTTGGTGCAGAAAGTGGTCGAGCTAAAGCAATTTCCATGGTCCTTCGAATATTTTATTTCTCATACACAAATATTACTTAAATCCATGCTGTTTTTTTTATATGACAGATATGCAGTTATAAATCCTGGTATTTAAACATATAACTACATAACGTATCCATTTTATTTTTTACTTTTTCTTGTATCATAATCAGTTTCAATCAACGTGTTTAATTGTTGTGTGAAGTAATTGGTAGATATGTGAAAAGTTAATGGACATTTTTCATTGTGTAATGGTATTCGATCATTATTAATTAGATTTAAAATACTAAGTAGCTTAATCTTAAGTCGTTGACCCCGATCCGATCAGAAATGTTACAGAACCATTGTAATCCATGTTCGAGTTAAGTATGTGCATGCATGATACTCGAGAACAAGTCAACCAATAAAGGAATGAATAACATGAAAAAAAAAACCAAACAAACAAGAAACAAAGAAACAAAAAAGAAACAAACAAAAAAGAAACAAGTAAACAATTGCATACATTGTTTGTTGATAGATAATCAGTATTCTTTAAATTCTTCAATTAGTTGATTATTCAATCTTTTAAAAACAAGGAAAAATTAAAACATCCCATATGGGAAGAACCGTTGGGAAGATGGACATTACGGGTGGATACCAAAACACCAAACTAGTCGGGTAACTAAGTCTTAGGGCAATTCGAACTTCCAACTGAAACTGGCCGCTCTAAAGTATAAGAATGTCAAACAGCACACACGATAATTTTCTAAATTCCCTGTAGTGAAACCGTTAAATGCCAAATTCTGTGGGCCAAAATTGCAAGGAGAACTACAAACCCAGACCGTCAAATGTGACTCGAGATAATTTTCAAAAACAGACTAAGTAAGGTGATCTTATATCAATCCCCGATGTGTGTATTACCAAATCTAATGTCCTTGTTTTATGTTGTCCTGTGGTTATTGACTTGGTTTGGTATATTATAGACCATAAGGGTTGTATCGGAAATAGTTATATGAGAAAGTAGACTTCTCTCTCCCAACAGCAGGGCCCCTGCTGAGGGAAATAAGTTTGAATAAGTTTGGCTGTAGGAGTTGTACAAAGATGCAGACACATGTGGTCAGAGTGCTTACATTGAATAAGATTCCCCATGATTGAAGAGTACCACGCTCTCTGTCGATAAAACTCGCCCAACAGCAGGACCTTTGCTGATGGACATAAGTTTGGCTGTAGGAGAAGTATAAAGATGCAGACACATTTGGTCATAAGATGCCCCATAATTTGAGAGTTCTACGCTCTCTGTCGATAATAGAATCTTGCTACAAATCTGTAAGTAGTCCAAAGATAAATTATCTGTGCCTACCTGCATGAAGCATTAATTCTCTCTAGTGGAAGTCTAAATGAGTAAGGCGAATTTCCACTGTAATTGTTTCCCACACAGGGTGGACAACTATATGTAGTCAAATCATATTGGAAATTGATTATAAAGAGTTTATATCATAAATATAAAAGACTGTTTCACAATTTGACATATTTCCATTATATCAAAAAGTTATTCAGTGCTACATGTTGTTGTTGAAGGCAGTTAATTTTACATGTTTTTGTCAAATCTTGTATCGAAGGACCCCCCCCCCCCTTTCCTCCCCAACCGTTATGATTTTTTTTTTTACTTGAAAGACAATAATATCTTTAAATCCAAATAATTTAGGATTTGATTAACGATGTGCATTTTCGGGATAAATACTTTAAACATTTTGCTCAAGCCTCTCAAAATCTCGTTTGTAGGCATTCATCAATGGTATAATTTGATGACCTGTAGAAATGAGCCAAAATAATGTAGTATCTTAAAGTACAAACGTTGGGCTGTGGTACAACGACTTTTTTTTAAAAGTAAAGATTTGAATACTTTTTGAAAATGGCACCGGAGCAAAATAAATTGAGGGGAAATTGGTCCTACTCTTTTTCGTTCTTCATACTGGTCGACCCTCATGCAGTACTTACTTTAATTCATTTATTGTTTAATTTGTTGTCGTTCTAAGTATACACGTAATAATTGCAACATTAAGCAAACGCCATTCAATCCAATTTACTGGCTATGAGAGAAGAAAGTGCTGAATACACAACTTACACAACTTTTACCTCAGTGTACATGTGAGATATGTGTACGTATAAGGGAGTTCATATTAAAATAAGTCAGAACATTGATAGATAACATAATAATTTCTTACTTGGAACCCTACATAAATAATAGATATGGCCATGTTATTGTTGTTGACTATGTATAGTTTCTTAAATTATTCTCTAAGTGAAAAACGACTTTTAATAAATGACCCAGATATACTTGTGGAACGTCTTGGTATTCTCGAGAAACTAGTTCACCAACAGACAGAGACGATCAAACAGCAGTCTGATACTATCAGTAATTTAACGTCAAAACTGTCAGTTCTACAGGATTGTAAGTACGCAGTGTTGTTATACATGCCATATTTTTGTTCGATCATATTGTTTTTCTTAAATTGTTTAACATTTCATAGCGGTATAACATGTTACTTTTATTATTCTTCCCTTAGTTTATTTATTTTGTATTTACATTGTATCATAGGTCAAATTTATTTGTTCAGTGTATGTTCACTGGTGTTAATATGTCCTTTGATTGAGTTAAGCTATTTCAGTTGATATTTTATAGTGTGTCTTTCTATGTTGTGATGTTACACTATTGTTTCAGAAAAAGGGCGAAGGTTTGGTACCATTAAAACGTTTAAACCCGCCGCATTTGTTTGCACCTGTCCTAAGTCAGAAATCTGATGTTCAGTTGTTGTCGTTTGTTGATGTGGTTCATAAGTGTTTCTCGTTTCTCGTTTTTTACATAGATTAGACCGTTGGTTTTCCCGTTTGAATGGTTTTACAATAGTAATTTTTGGGGCCCTTTATAGCTTGCTGTTCGATGTGAGCCATTGCTCCGTGTTGAAGACCGTACTTTGACCTAAAACGGTTTACTTTTATAAATTGTGACTTGGATGGAGAGTTGTCTCATTGGCACTCATACCACATCTTCTTATATCTACATATGTCTATTTGTTGATTAAGACCAACGGAAACTGTTTAAAATTCGTTGCATTATTTGCTATCATTCCTCAGTCTAAGACTTTGTTTAGTAACATTAACCTAATGTTAATGTTCTAAACCAGAAGTCCGCCAGTGATCTACCAGAAGTCCGCCAGTAGTCTACCAGAAGTCCAGTGTTAGTTGTTGTCTTTCTGTCTGTTATATGTGTATTTTGCGCTGAATTATTTAACAAATTATGGAAAAACATTGCATCAATAACCATTAGAGAAAATATTTAATAGTTTATTACTTGTCAAGTTTTTGTTATAACATAAGCTACAGGATATAGGATTTTTGAATCGCAGGATGTGTAGGGTTGAGTGCTCACTACCATATTTAACCTCGCTACATTCGGTATGTCCGAAGTCAGGAGCCTGTAATACAGTGGTTATTGTTGTAAACTGTCTGCCAAAATCTATTGTAGCATAAATTAGGCCGTTAGTTATTTCTTTTCAGTTTGTCATGCCGGCCCTTTTTATAGCTTACTATCCGGTATGTCTTTTGTTCATTGTTGAAGGCCTTACTATGACCTGTGGTTGTTTACATATTGGTCATTTGATCTCTTGTGTATAGTTGTCTTAATGGCAATAATAGCTTATCTTCTAATTTACATACTTCATATAAATGAAGAGAAGCTTTTCATGTATCTAATCTTGATCCTGGCTGTTTTCGTTTATTTGTTTGTATGTATCTGACTTCCGTGACGATTACTCTTACAATATATATTTCAGCAAAAGTTTCCGTATGTTAAGAGCAGCATTAGGACAGAAATTTAACGTTTTATTACTGTACTGTATTTCAGCAATTGGCTCAACTTTCGTTCTTTGGGGAAGAAGTGATTGTCAATCGAAAGATACAGAACTTGTATATTCAGGTATTTTAGTAATCCTACAAACTAACATTTAAGTTATGTAGCCGTGTCAAACTGAAACTTTATCTATATCTAAAGTAAGTATGATTAAGCCATGGGTTCCTTATTCTTGCTTATTGCTCTTTCAATCACGTGTACATGTTTACCTTATATATTGATTTGACTGCAAAACATTTTAATATGGAGACAAACAGCTTCCAATAAATTATCGGTCAAATGAGCTCCGATATCAAAGAGATTGGTCAAATATATTTTTTGGCAATCAAATTTTCTAATTTTGACATTGTTTTATGTTTATACTGTAACTCGAAACAGAAAATATTAGATTCACAAATTATTTTGATGAAAGCCAGCAATTCTGTAAATTTAGAATAAACTCAAATATATCATCATTTATTTAGTAAACAAAAGGCAGCCAATAAGCCAGACAAAGCCATACTGCTTTAACTACCATGTAACGAAAGAGACGAAACCATACAAAAATCTTCGTTTCGCATCTCTATTATTTTATTTTTTTGCAAATAAAGCATATGTTGCCTATAGTATGACCAACAACTGTCCATATTCGAGATTAAAGACATATTTAGAGGTAATTATTTTTCGATGTAGGAGGAACTTCTGTGCATTAGTCATTAGTATTATAACTATCTTTATTATCATTATTATATGAAGAAAATTGGTATGCAAATTTCGATATGTATACAAACATATGATATCGTCATTAATGTAGGTTTTGTTGGAGGAGGACATTACAATGAGACTGGATCATCACCTGAGTTCGTGTGCTTACCGACTGACCCTAAGTTAAGAGAGACAACAGGAGGGTATGATTATGGCAGAATGTATGGAGCAGAATACGGTACAGACTTCTGGGGTCAACATCCTAACCCTTTTAACAACGAACTACCATGTGCCGTTTGTCGAAGCCAGCGTACTTTCACTACCATAATGATTCCAGGCAAAGACACGTGTCAGGCTGGATGGAAAATTGAATACCATGGATACTTGGGATCCAGTCACCATTCGTATACTTCCGGGTCAATGTATATATGTGTGGATATAAATCATCAGAGTGTACCAGGAGGTGGCAGTAGATTTGATGGAGGGAGGCGCGTGGTCAATGTAGTCGCAGAATGTGGATCGCTGCAGTGTCCTCCATACACAAATGGAGACTCGTTTTCTTGTGTTGTTTGTTCAAAATAAAAGTTTAGCATTTTCATGATTCAATATTTTGTATACATATCATCTATATATAGATTCAGCAACCAAAAGATTCAGAAATAATCACGATATTTATTAACTCAAGGAATGCCGTGTATTTTTAAATTTGATAGTATAGTATTGATCGACAACTATCGGAATCTATGTGATCATGAGGGAGACTAAATGATTGGTTGTTATTTGCTTAACTTCCAGTGGCAAATATTTCATGCACGCTCTGGACAAGAATAAATTTAAATGGATCCAAAAGGTAGGTATGCATATGTAGGTTATTTTAAACATTTTAAATTGCAACAGACATCCACCAAAACCCCAAAAGAGTTGTTGGATGTGTACTGATTGATACTTTAGTCTTAGACACATGCTTTTTTATTACTTGTTATTGGCTTTTCACTGGCTTTCAGTAACTGCAAGAACTCTCACATCTGTAATTAGTGTCTATTTTGCTATAGGGATGTATAATACTTACCTTGCCACGTCCGGTTTGTGGTTTTGTTACTTGTTGTTTCGATCTGACGAGTTAAGCCCATTTCAGCTGATTTTAATAGTTTGTTCATATGTTATACTGTTACACCACGGTCCCAGGTTATTGGGGAGGGTTGGGATCCATCTAACATGTTAAACCCTGCCACATTCTGTATGTGCCTGTCCCATATCATGAACCAGTAATTCAGTGGTTGCCGCTTTGTTGCTGTATATCATATTTGTATTGTGTTCATTATTTTTTTTTACATAAAACAGACCGTTTCTTTTCTCGTTTGAATTGTTTTACATGAATTTGTCATTTCGGGGCCTTTTAAAACTGACTATGCGGTATGGGTTTTGCTTATTGTTGAAGACCGTACGGTGACCTATAGTCGTGAACGTCTATGTCATTTGGTCCCTGGTGGAGAGTTGGCAATTATACCACATCTTCTTATTATTTTGTATGAGACAAGTATAAAATTCAACAAGAAGACAGTCTGAAAAACCAAAATATATCTAAAGGTAAATATATATGACTGAACAACAGAAAGGTGAGTAGGCACCACGGGTGTCATTCGGTTTATCGAGAGAATTGATCGTGAAATAATAACTAACTGTGGTCAAGCATTGCGATCAGATCGTGAAAGATTTGGTATCGGATAGTGAATGCAATTAAGTGTAATTCTACTTCAAAATCTATGAAACAATCTGCTGTAGTTTCAAAAGGTGGAACAAATTAGAATTTTTTTTTATAGATATAAGAAAATGTTGTATGAGTGCCAATGAGACAACTCTCCATCCAAGTCACAATTTGTAAAAGTAAACCATTATAGGTCAAAGTACGGTCTTCAACACGGAGCCTTGGCTCACACCGAACAGCAAGCTATAAAGGGCCCCAAAATTGACTAGTGTAAAACCATTCAAACGGGAAAACCAACGGTCTAATCTATATAAAAAACGAGAAACGAGAAACACTTATGAACCACATCAACAAACAACAACTACTGAACATCAGATTCCTGACTTAGGACAGGCGCAAACAAATGCAGCGGGTTTAAACGTCTTTTTAAATAAAATAGGTACCTCCCTTCACCCTTATCTGAAACAATAGTGTCAGATCACAATATAGAAAGACACACTATAAAATATCAATTGAAATGGCTTAACTCAATCAAAAGACATATTAACACAAGTGAACATGCACTGAACGAATAAATTTTATCTATGACACAATGTTAATACAAAATCAATAAAATAAGGGGTGAATAAATAAAGGCACCAGCAGTATACCGCTGTGAGATGTTAAACAATTTCAGAAAAACAACAATAACCTTGAACAAAAAAGCCGCCAAATAGAATTATGTACACAGGTAAATGAAAATAATTTTGTTGTAAGGTATACAGTTTAAATGGAGAACGGAAATATTTTTTACAAAATAAATAATTTTGTTGTTCATAGTACGAAGAAGTGAAAATTTAAAGTCATACCTAACACTTATCAAAGCTGGTACATGTCTGTCAAAATTATTCAACTTCCTTAACTGTGCACTTAATAAATGAAAAAATGCAGTACTTTTTAAGAAAAAACAAAAGGCGACACACAATCCTATGAAAATTATCATTAAGAAAAAAACACGTTTCGTAACTATAATAGTCACATTCCAATATATCAAGATATATTGGAAACTTAATCTGTATATGTCAGATAGTCCAGTAAAATGTATTTATGTTATTACTTGAAAAAGTTCATATTATTTTTGAAAAAGTCTATTTTTGTTGATTTTTTTTTTCAAAATTGATCGTGAAAGATCATTCAACGCATTGTTGGATCGTGAAAGACAATGCGTGACCAGACTAAATGATCAGAAACAGCATTTGTTTTACCAATTGACATACTTGTAATTGGTTGAAGTGTGTAATTACTTTCTAAGAACGTAAATCATTGCTTTATTTTTTGTTGGTGATATATATATTTTTCCATAAATAGACCTGTTTTCATTTAAGAGGCAATTCTACGCGTAACTAGGCATCCAAGATAATAAGACCTCCAGCAGCGTAAATGGTCGAAAGGTAAATATTGTGTATACATAATGCGTAATGCATCCACAAATGAGGGAAGAGATGGGCTCTGGTGGTCTTCCCCCGGAAATATCTTAAGGTGTGCGTTTTAATGAAGATGTGTAAGTCAACTCTGTTACTTGTTTTTTGCTTTGTATCGATCTGATGAGTTAGGCCCTTTTCAACTGAGTTTTATAGTTTGTTCAATTTTTGTTCTGTTACATTTTACCTATTATGTCTGTTTGTTTTATTCACGCATCGTTGTCAATATAATGGAGTTTGGTGCGACTGTCATACAAGTGAGAGGTTTAGCTAGCTGTAAAACTAGGTTCAATCCACCATCTTCTACATAAGAAAATGCCTGTACTAAGTCAGGAATATAGCAGTTGTTGTCCATTCGTTTGATGTGTTTGTGCTTTGGATTTTGCCATTTGATAAGGGACTTTCCGTTTTGAATTTTTTAAGCCGCCACATTATGTAGGTGCCTGTCCCAATTCAGGAGTCTGTTATTCAGTGGTTGTCGTTTGTTGGTGTCTATCATATTTGTTTTTCGTTCATTGTACATAAATCAGGCCGTTAGTTTTCTCGTTTGAATTGTTTTACATATGGCAACCAAAACCCGCACCATAATCTTCTTTTTAAATGTCATACCATGTGTAATATTTCTGAAGGAAAATGTTCTAATTTTATTTCATGTAGACCATATATATTTTAAACTTTGTTCTGATTTTGGTAGTAGGGAACGGATCTGTATACAAGAAATTATTGTTTACGAGTACAAGATCTCAAAACATCAAAATATACCTCTCTGCATTTTCTATTTGCTTTATTTAACAGTTACGAGGAAAACTACTCATCTTCATATTGCACTCTCAGAAGAAGCAGGACACACATCTTTTGTTTATTTTTTGTAGGACCATGCAAGAAGATTGCTCTTATATATTTCACTAGTTTTGTCCTTAAAAATCACTGATACAAAATATATATCAGACTTTTATATCACCAGCCCGGTAGTCCGTAATTCTGTGTTGACATAAACTATCATTAACACGTTAAATTTCTGACCAGTATATTTACGGTCTATAAAATGATATGTTTTTAGAAACAGGCATATCTACCTCTACTTCTTCCTTAGTAAGCAGAATTATTAGAAGACTCCTTAAGGAGTCATTGCCCTTAATTTCGATTTTTTGCTAATTTTCGTGTTTTTAAAAAGAGAAGATGTGGTATTAGTGCCAATGAGACAACTCTCCATCTAAGTCACAATGTACAAAAAGTTAAAGTCTAGGGTAAACAACTATATGTTGTCAAATCATACTGAAAATTGATTATAAAAAAGTTTATATCATAAAATAGAAAATAGAAATAAGAAGATGGTGTATGAGTGCCAATGAGACAACCCTTTATCCAAAACACAATGTGTAAAAAGTAAACAAGTACAGGTCAAAGTACGGCCTTCAGCACGGAGCCTTGGCTCACACCGAATAGCAAGCTATAAAAATGACTAGAGTAAAACAATTCAAACAGGAAAACCAACGGTCTAATCTATAAAAAAAAAATGAGAAACGAGAAACACCTATAAACCACACCAGCAAACGACAACCACTAAACTACAGGCTCCTGACTAAGAACTAGTTTATTATCTCAAACACTATATAAGAAATGTAAAAGCAGTAAAAGGCAAACATAATCAGTAATACAAGATCTACAAAAATGTCAATACGTCAAGAACTATTGGCTGACTACTCAACAATGTAAACGATACTAAGCTTGCTGCACCAGGTATGCATTTTGACTGTTCTTTCCATCGAAGGATATATATTTGAAGTGGTGGAATTAACGAAACTTGTGTCTTTCCAGATCTAGATCTAGTCTGTTTCCCTTCGGATCCTGAACTTAAACCAGTGATAGCATTTGACTGTGATAGAATGTACGCAGTAGAATACAGTACTAACTTTTTGGGGTCTGTAAAATTTTATGATATTCCGTGTGCTTTATGCAGAAGCAATGATACACTACTGCCACAATAATGTTCCTGGTACTGATGTTTTGTGTAATTCTGCATGGCTGGGAGACAGAAAATAGTTGGACAAAAGGATAAAGCCATCATTTACACATTTCTGGGTCTTCGTTCAAATGTGTGGATATCAATCATGAAAAACATTCCAGGAAGTGTCAGTGAAAGTGGCGGGAGACGATTGGTAAACGTTTTTGCCAAATTATTTAATTTTGGATGTATTTAACACGTTTTCTGATTGCCTGAAAATTTTTTTTTGATCAAAATAGACATTATTTTGTCGTGTGACCGTGACATCATCAACGTTTTATCATGATTTACTGCTTAAGGATGTACACCTCTGAGGAGCCAAGAATTTCTAAAATTAATCTTTTTTTCTTTACCTGATTTTTGGGATTATATGACTGTAAAAAAATAATTGGTGAAGAAAAAATCATATGGT